ACCAACCACTGATTGGTTCAAAACTGAGAAAGGAGTTCAGCAAGGCTGTATGCTGTTGCTCTGCCTATTTAACTTATATGCAGAGCACATCATGAGAAAGGCGGGGCTAGATGAATCACCAGTTGGAATTAAGATTGCTGGGAGAAATATCAACAACCTCAGATATGCAGATGATACCACTCTAATGGCAGAAAGTGAAGAGGAACTAAAGAGCCTCTTGATGCGGGTGAAGGAGGAGAGTGCAAAAGTTGGCTTGAAACTCAACATTAAGAAAACTAAGATCATGGCATCCGGTCCTCTCACTTCCTGGCAAATAGATGGGGAAGAAATGGAGGTAGTGACAGATTTTATTTTCCTGGGCTTCAAGATCACCACAGATGGGGACTGCAGCCAAGAAATGAAAAGACGCTTGCTCCTGGGGAGGAAAGTTATGGCAAATCTAGACAGCATACTAAAAAGCAGAGACATCACCCTGCCGACAAAAGTGCATATAGTCAAGGCTATGGTCTTCCCAGTTGCAATGTATGGCTGTGAAAGCTGGACCATTAGAAAGGCTGAGCACTGAAGGATTGAGGCCTTTGAATTGTGGTGCTGGAGGAGACTCCTGCGAGTCCCTTGGACCTCAAGGCGATCAAACCAGTCAATCCAAGAGGAGATCAACCCTGACTGCTCTTTAGAAGGCCAGATCCTGAAAATGAAACTCAAATACTTTGGCCACCTAATGTGAAGGAAGGACTCCCTGGAGAAGAGCCTAATGCTGGGAACAATAGATGGCAAAAGAAGAAGGGGACGGCAGAGAATGAGGTGGCTGGATGGAGTCACTGAAGCAGTTGGCATGAGCTTAGGTGGACTCTGGGGGATGGTGGAGGACAGGAAGGCCTGGAAGAATGTTGTCCATGGGGTTGCAATGGGTTGGACACGACTTCACGACTAACAACAACAACCATTTATATGCGATCTTTTAAGATACTTCTTTTTTCAAAGCAGTTTACAGGATATAATAAAACCATATTGAAACAAACCTCGACGTATCAGATGAAAGCTGCCACTGGAAACCTGGCACTGTGCAATTTGAATTTTATAAGTCTGCTGGGAGGAACAAGAGCTGAGCAGGGCTGTCAAGGGCAGGACATTTTGTTGGTTAATCATTCATAACTAACCAATAAGTTAGAGACAGCTTGATGACACTTAACAAAAATTGGGAGGAACAGTAATAGTGTTCTGTTCACAGCTAAGTCACCATGTTTCTTTAACTGAAGCAGAAGCATGTGAAAAAAGAAATGTCTCATTGTGGAGTACAAAACAAGAATGAGATAATAGGGCATAGTGTTTCTCAGATGAGCCTCTTACCTGATTGTCAGCATATCATATAACATTTTGAACACACTGACAGTAGAAAAAATGTTTGTAATGGAAATTTTTTCAAGTGGTGTTCTGAGTTTAGTGATCATATTGCACATTTGTGAACAGTGCCATCTGGTGAGAAGGTGAAGTATTCATGTAGCTAAAAAAGAATTGTTTTACTTTTCTACTTTTCTTACTATGCTTGAAATTAAGAGTAGTACAGAAAAGTAAAAGCAGAAACATGCCCCCAAACTGAGTGGCAAGTCCAATTTAGTAAGTCCCTGCAAACATGCTGTATCAGCCGTATACCCTACAGCTGTACTTAGGTCACCAAGTCCAGAATCTGTCCATTGTCTAACTGAGGCACAGGTAAGATCAGCAAGGTTTTTAACAGGACTTTACTGTAAAAAGCACATGAAGCAAGAAGCCTGAAGCACAGTGAGGCTGAAACTTTTATATCAGTGTTTTTCCCACTTATTTCCTGCTTCAGACACCTTTCCCTCTTCCTTTTTCATTACTTCTCACAAAACAGTTACACTCAGAGTTAAGGTGTTGGCTCAAACTAGTTCAAACAGAAGGCTAGGGGGTGGGGTCTCACACCTGTACAGAACTAGAACCCAGGGCAAATAGCCCAATATTGAAAAGTCCCTAGGTATGCCGTGGTTCTGTGGAAAACACAGTTTTAGCATGTAAAAGATTACAGGTTCAATTGCTGGCAATGGGAAATAGGGCTGAAAACACACCTGATGGCTAATCTAGAGTTGACTGTGAGATTCAAGTATATTAACATTTCAGTATTTAGTGTCATGCATAGCCTTTGAGCATTCCATGCAGTTCACCTATTTATCACAATAATCCTTATAATAGCAAATTGCTCAATATTCTCCTCCTATAGCAGATGAGAGGCTTGCAGAAAAACAGGTTTGTTCAAGGTCACCTTGTGGTTCTTGTGGCTAGGCAGTTCAAACAGTAGTACCTAGGATAACAGCTCCTACTTGTACAACACAATTTTAGATGCATTTATTCTGAAGTGACCCATGGTGTTCAATCAAGCTTATTTTTGCATGAGCATTGCAATTTTAGAGCATCAGAGCACACTCATTCTTAATCTATCCCCGTCTCTCTTCAAAACAACAAACACTTCTGAGATTCTTGTACTTGTATTCCTAAGCAGCAAACCCCGATGCTATAAACAGACATTTTTAATGTCCAAGCGGAGATATGGCTCATCTTGCAAGTCTGTGCAATTGGATGAAGTATAATTGTATAAATAGAACCTGCCAATTTCATATTTTAAATTAGGACTTGGGTAAAGAATGTGAATTCAGAAAATAACATTCTAATCTAGAGTACATGGTTAAAAATCCCTTTTGCTTGTTAGCTTAACATGATAAGGTGAACTGAGGAAATTTGCCCCTTATAAGCTAGTATAATTACGTTTAGTTCTGAGATGCCATTAGCGCAGGGGTGGTAAGCCTGTTGCCCTCCAGTTGCGCTTGGACTACAACTAACACCTTGCCTAACCATCATACTGGCTGGAGCTAATATAAGTTATTACATTGCATTTATATCCTGCCTTTTCTTCTTTCCAGGAGCCCAAGGCAATTTACATAGCTGTATTTTATCCTTGCAACAGAAAAACGGTGAGGTGGGCTGGGCTACAAGTCTATGACTGGGCCAAAGTCACCTAGTGAGCACCTTGGCAAAGTGAGGTCTAGAACCCAGGTCCAGGTCCCAGTCCAGCACTCAAAGCACTACACCACCATCTAATAACATCAAGTTCCCCATTTCCACAATGGATGCAGTACATGTGCCTATTGATTCTCCATAATCCATGGTTACTGCACCCAGTTTACAAAACATACTTTAAAAAAAAGTAGATGAAAACATTTCTAAACAGTCACCAATAACAATGTGAACTGCAATACAAAATTTGTATTGTATAATAAGTAACCAAAATGATAAAGTTTGAAAGCAATGTGAGATGTAAACTGTTCAAGCTCTGTTGAATGTTGGAAGGTACTGGGAACAAACTTCCATTCTAATCTTCAGCTAATGTAAATGAGATTGATGATATGTGGATTCACTGAAAGTACACGGATGTTAATCCGAAATGCTGAGGAAGTTATGATGAGGTTTGGATTATTAACCACGTATGTGGTGAAATGGTGAGATAGTTGAGGGTTACTGGAAAATAGTATTTGGAAGAGTTTTGGACCATCTTGAAAAGGCATTTTACCCAATCCCAAACCAGTCTGGCTTGGCTTTTTTAAGGAAAACATCCCCCAAATATGGTAAGGTTTGCCACAGTAATTGCAAGACTGGAAATACCATCATGTTGAAAGAATTACAATATGCTGGACATTGAATAGACTCTGGAAATTAGCTTTAGCACTGGACAGTGTAGGACTGTGTCTAGCTGAACATACATAGGACTGCACCCTTAACAAACAAGCTAACAAAACAAATTATTGTCTCTACCGAACAAAATAGGGATTGGTATCTATCTATAGTTTATGCCTGCCAACACTTCCTGTCTACGTAATGCTGGAACTATTCTGATCAGATATTTCATTCCCATTGATTTATAGCAGATGAAACTAATCATTTTTTTTTACCTCTTGGCTGTTTATTTCTATTACTGTACTTGAGCACTCCTTGATACATATTCTCTGTTATTGCTCCCCCTGCATTTTTCAAGTTTAAAATTTTATTTCTCCCTCCGTTACATTTGTTAAACCAGGAAAAAGATAATTAAAAAGCAGAAGTTGCAACACAGGTGGCAGGTAGAACAAAGTATTTTTAATGTGTCCTGGTACTGTGCACAATGCAGGAGTGAGGTTCTTGTTCCAAGAGAATAATTTGTTCACGTAAACACTCTTCCAAAAATTTGAGGAGCCAGAATGAAAGCCTTCTTATAGTCAGTAGCTTCTTGGGAATCTCGGCTTCTACTCAATTTTCTCAGATTACCACGCACCATCCAATACCTGCTATATTTATTTCCATTTCTATGCTGCCCCATAATCCGAAGGTTCTCCTAGCGGCTTCTATCAGTTTTTCTTGGGTTAATCGATTTTGGGAGCTGCTCCATAGATAAACCTAAGAACCACATAGTGAAACAATAGCACACTATTTTCATTGCGGCCACCCACCATTTAGTTCATTACAATTAACAGAAAGAATGTCTCCGTGCTGTTCCCTATTGCAATGTTGGATGCACTTTATTTAAAACCATGTTTTTAGGTGTGTCTCATTTCAAGCAGAATAACCTGTGTACGCCACAAAAGGGAGCCCAAGGCCCTGCACTTTCGCTTAATTCCCTACACAAGCCCTGTGATCGTCAATTTAGGGGGTTCGATGTCACTTTAAGAATGAATCGGATTCCTCTTCGTTCAAGCACCACCTTCTTAGACTTGCCTACCAATCCGATAGCACTTCCCTCTCAGACCATCAGCCAATGGAGGCGCTCCACGAAGGGCAGCGCCGTAGGGACGTGGCTTAGGGCGAAAGAAATGGTAAATGACAGGCCACCCAGCCATTGGGACCCAACGATGAACGTAGGGGCGGGAAATCCGCGCTCGCCCAAATCAATGGGGTAGGAAGTACCCGAGCGTTAGAGGCGGAGCTCGTGTTAGGTAGATAGGCAGCGAGTGGGTGGCGGTTTTCTGGACGGGGCACGTGACAGGAGGCGCTGGGGCTCTCTGGAGTGCTCTGGCGGGTGGGGTGTGTGGCGAGGTGAGCGTTGCATTCTGTCCCCCCCGCCCTTTTAGCTCGAACGAGAGAAGAGAGCAGACGCCTGTGAGCGGAGGGCTCGCGCTTTTGCGCGCGGGGCACACTGGGAGTCCGGCGGGGGCCAAGGGGGGCATTTCGACCAGGCGAGGGGGTGGTAGACATGGGGATTGGCGGCGAGTTTCGTTGATGGGTAGGGCGGGAAACAGAGAGCTTGGGGCGCGACGCGTGAAGGGGTTGGCGACAGGCTTGGGTGGGAGGGAGGGAAGGCCTGAGGTGTAACGGCCGGGGGGGAGGTATGAATGCGTTTGGTCCGCAAGGCCCGAATGGGATGAGGCGGGTTGGATCCCCCCCCCCCATTCTACTAAAGATAAATAGGGTTACTTGTGCTTTCGGATCTAGGTGAGCTGCGTAGGCCTCTTGGGGTTTCTGGGAAGACAGCCAGGATACATCGGGTGGGGAAAGCGGGCCTTTAGTGTTCAGGCATGCGGACCGATGTGGTAATATTGCAGATCACTTGGTGGGTAGCACATGCATGGTATGACTAATCAGTATTTAGGATGGGTGTCATGTCGCTTCTGGGGGCTCGGAGTAAGGAGATGTACACTTTTTGTGTTGGGAAGGAGTATCGACTTAAGTAGAAGGATTCTATAAAAGGTCGCATTTTATTTCTTTTGTCGCGAACTTAACTGAAAGCAAGATGAGGAAATGTATGATTATGGAGTGGCAAGTAGGGCTTCGGGTACGGAGCCTTCCTGCTCTTCTTGAATGTACAAAAATATGTATATCTTCGTGCAAGAAGTATGCCGTTTTGCTATTCCGGATAAGGATAGGACGGGAACGTTTATTTAGTTTAATTCAGTGTACATGTAAAGCAGGGTGACATTTCACTCTGGACAAGGAGAGTTTGCACACTTAATTTCTGTCTGAAATAAATGGTTTTGTAGTGGTCGTTCTCAGAATTAATGATCAAACCTGTTTTAGTTTTTCTGGAAAGCGCCTGGCTATTTAAAATGAGCTCCCTGGACTTAGAGCTCTGAAAACAATTGATAGAAATATGCATCGAATTTCCGTCGAAACAAACATAAAACATGACTTAAGACTGCCTTGAATTTAAACCAATCTATTAGCAAAGGCTGTGTGAGATGAAAAACTTTGTGGGATTGAGTAGTTCAAGAAAAGGAGGTTTGAGGCCATCTCTGGTTTAAAGAAGGAAGTGATAATGCAGCAGTGTGCTATGTGAAAGGGTAGGGACAAAGGTAAACTGCAGAGGGAAGACATGAATAGTGCCATAAAGTGTGCAGGCCTTTGATTTTAAGTAGATAAAATATATAGATACATTTAAGAATTAAGAAATACCTATCATATATGTGTAGTATTCTTATTAATTGCTATTCTTTATTAATGTTAGATGTTTACCTTTGCACAGACCTGTGATGGAAACAGTTGATAGCAACAAGGATAAAAGCCCTTAGTAAGTTTTATATTTATTCCATGCAATACTACAGAAAGGCTTTCTATTCAATCAGCTGAACTGTGAATGGAATATGCATTCCTCACATCAGCACTTGTTAATGTTTCTTGGGAATGTTTTACACCATTTTTGTCAAAAGTAGTAATAACTATGTATTTCTAGCATGTTCTGTGAGCAGTTGGCTGCCCAGAGAGTATAATGCTTATCAGGCGACTTTTATGCAAATTTAATAATCAGGAATAGCAGATTCTCTGCATCTATTTAAAAGTGTCACTGAGCACATTTGTTCCATATGGGCTTAAGTGGCTACTGGGTGTCCTAAATTAACTGAAAGCTGATTTGTAAGGAGGAGTGCCATTTGTGTGAATGTGTATGCAAAAGCATTTCTCATTGCTTCAATGGGGCTAAATTCCTAGTGGCTTTAGGACTTCAGCCCCAGTGCAGGAAATAATAGTAAAATTTCTAGATTTTCCTAAAAGAGGCATAAGTAAAGCCTGTAGAAGATTAGAAAATAGTTTGACACAAGGTTATTAAGCAACACCTCACAGAAGATTTAAACCTGTAGTAGTATCATACAGCAGGAGTGACTTAGAATAATGTTGAGTTTTGCTCCGAACTGATTTGTATCTAGCTTTAGCACTGTTGGAAATATTTTTAATCAAAATGTGGCTCAAGGGAGGGAGTGTCAAATAGCCCTTATAGTACAAAGGCAGATGAACAGACATAAATGGAACCTGCAAGAGGTATGAATGGAAATGAGTGTAGTTTAAGTATCTTTGGTTCAGTATTTAGCACATGGTCTTGTATTAGGGAAGTTTTTCTAATCTCATTGTGAACAAGCTAGATGAAGGCTAGAGATAGGGCACTTTTGAGGGCATAGGTGTTTGCCTTGATGCCAAGTGCAACAGGTCATCTGATACAATATACAAACCCTATGTGGGGAATTAGTAGAAATGTATCATTAGTAGAATTATAAAATAATATACTGAAATGTGTAATTGTAGTCTACAATAACCACATTGCTAGAAAATAGTGCTTCAGTGAAGTGATTGCCCTCCCCTTGATTCTATTGTCTGCTTACATTGCTCCTGCCCTGTCATGCTTGCTGCTGTTTCTGTCTTACCCTCCTTCCTAAAGGACACCAAGGGGGTAGCTGCCATTGGTGCTATACTAATATTCCATGATGTAGTTCTAATGGCAGCTGCTCACTGTCTTCCAAGAATAGAGCTTGAGGCTGTAACCTAGGAAGAACAACAAAGGCTGGGCTACAGCTTCCACAAACTACTACTGCTAACTTGAGGACTTATGGAGGCCCTCCATGCCACCTCATAAATGCAGCCTGGTCTTAAGTTCTCCCCTGTTTGTAAGAGAGAAAGAGGGTTCTGTGACAGAATACAAAGACTGCTTCAGCTCTTGGGCAGTATAGAAGTTAAGGCAGTATATTATTTGTTTGTTTAACTTGTGCTAGGCAGCCAGACAAGTGATTATTTGCAAGCATAGAGTACTATGCTTAGAACTAAATTTATCCAGCTTATAAACTAACGTACTACGTTACCTTTAGATTCCACCTTTTTTCTTCATTCAAGGAACTCAAGTCAGCTTACATAATGTTCCTCAGTAGCTGTGAACTGTTCTCAGGTTTAGAAATAAATAGTCCCTGTAGTAATAATTGCTGTAATATTAAGGTGTTTAATAACCTGCTAGATAAGCACTTAATTTATTTACAAACATAACAGCTTTTCTCATTCTAATTTTTTAAAAAAATATATGCATATTTGTGTGTGTATGGACAGTGGATGAGTGGGAAGCAAATGCGAGTTAGAGGGCAAGAGAGATTTTTCTATGAACATTTGTTTGAAATACTTTATAACTTTATAACAAGAACACACAGATAAAACAGTCTATCTAGATGTTTTGTCATGTACACATGGACCATTAACAAAATCAGTGCTGCTTTTGCACAACTTTCACAATATCTATTATAACGCATAGCTTGACATCAACTTATGCTAACTGTTTGGGTGGTAAGTACTTGTGCATATTCTCAGGCCCCTGTCATCTAGTTCTTTTCTAAGCTGCCTACATGCTTTCCTAAATAAGCATAAGAAAATACAGATATGGGAAGAATTCTTCCTAGAAGCTCTAAATCCTTGTTGGATGAGACTAGAGGCCCATCCAGCATTGGACTAGGTGCCCCTGTGAAGATTCCACACAGAATGGGAAAGCTCCAGCGCTCTCCTGACCCCAGCATTTGATATTTAGAAGTCTTCCTCTGAATATGAAGTTTCATCACTCTAGTTAAACATGTAACGATTATTTTAATTCTTTAGAACCTTCATATACCCTGATGCAGTATGTAATTAGTGTCCTAAATTTAATGGTAAAAATAAATTTATTGCAAAAACTTTGACACTCAGAATGAAGCTATATTTTCCTCTGTTTCTGAAGGTCAGAGGTGATTGTGAATCTTTGTGTAAGTAAAAGGCTGCCATCTGCATGCAAGAGTGTAGTATCAGCAACTTGTAAAATTAGTAGGCATGTTGTGAGCGGAGCTGGCTAGGGCCAGGGGTCAGACTAGATGGCCCGGGGGACCCCTTCTGACTCGCTCTGTTTCTATGTTTCTAAAATCCCCAAGATTTGCAGAAATGGCAGATCTTAAGGCAACCCACAAAACACCCCAGTGAGAATTGAATATGCTGCGTTGCCTGCTACATATTTTGCCTGGAGAGAGATGGAATAGAGTTGCTTGCTGGCTTGCTGGAGTCCTGAAGGGGAAGTCTCACTGATTTTACTAACAGTTGAGCATAAATTACAAAAGGACATGTGTTGGTTACCACTTGAGCAGACTAATTTGCTTTTCTGCAGGGAGCAAATTCTCATCACAGCAGAAGAATGTAGTGTTAAAGCAGAATTCATGGAAAGTGAACAGTGCAATGTAATCAAGAGTATCCTAGATAGGAAAACAAACATTTTGTAATAATATTTACACATTAGATTATGAAGAGGCTATACCAGACTACCTTTAAAAGGCAGAAATTTCCAACATGCTCTTAACATGCCCTGTACTTCAGTTTGGCAGATTTTCTAGATCCAGCTGAGCTACATTCTTTAGCACTTTGTTGAATTAGCATATAAAAATACTTACAATGCTGCTTACTGTTGGAAGCCCACCTCCCATGAATGGTTGCCTGACTTATTTGTCTGAAGAGGCAGCAGAAGTCCTGCAGTCTATTTAAGCAATTTAGCTTATTCTCTGATGAAATGCTAGCTTCGGTTGAGGTAAATTTCCATGCGCCAAATTTCAAGTTCTACAGATTTTAGATTTTCTAAATCCTTGTGTTAAATTGGTGGATTAAACCTCAATTTTCTGGGTGGTAGACTTTCCTGAAGATCATGTAAGACTGAGTAGTGGAATCATTATATGATACACTTTGAATCCCCGTTTGGGGAAGAAAGACCCCTGCCTCATGACTTATCAAATGTAGACCCCCCCCAAGAATTTACCTGTGGCTGAAAGAGGTTCCTATTCTTACAGTTTAGATAATATGTACACTAAATGGTGAGGCTTTAGTTATTCTCTGACAATTTCAATATCTGTGATTCTCAAGCAACTTTTATGTATCAAATGTACTACAGGGAGCATTTTGTGGCTTTTGTTTTCAGGGAAAGGTGTACTTATGCCCCTTTATCAGAGCTGAAGTTTGCTTGTTGTGCTGTTAAATGGTTTTGTTCTTCAGAATCATACTTGACTCAGTTCAAGAATTAAACCCTGAGAAATTGTGTACAAGGCCTTTTGAATTTTGAAAGGCCAAACAGGTGCTGCATGGTACCAGTCTCTTGTATTCGTTACAATTGGCTTGCATGGTTGTAGGTGTTTATGTAATATATATCAAATTGTAATGATTGAAAAAATGCAGATGGCATGTATGAATGCTTGGGTACCAGTAGCCAGAGTTTCCACTGGGCAAGAATGGCATCCTAGTAACTGGTTCTCTGTTTCCTCTGCCCATAGACTGTATGGCCTTTCAGATTTTCTTCTACTGCAACTCCATCTTCTCTCACTAGTGGTTATGCTGGCTTGGGCTGGTGGAAATTGTAGTCCAACTGGGATGCCACTCTTTCCTCACATCTGCCATGGAGTCGAGCTGTGCTACTTTTTTATAACAATGATTTGAAAGCAAAATATAAATGAGAGGAGAACAAGATTTCTTCTACCATACAGGGATTATCTCCACCAAAGTGGCAATATTGTCTTCAGTTATGAAGCTTGGAGAATTGTATGCATTTGTCCCTAATACAACATTCTAGTTGCAGATTGACTACATTAACTTTTGTAAACTTATTTAATAATAACTGTAGCATATCTGCTGGTTGTAATGCATTTCCTTATTTCAAGTAAAGAAATGCAGAGCTGCTCCTGCAGCATCTGTTAGACTGCAAAAATCCTAAATGAACAGTGTATAAATTTTGTATTGGCATGTTAACTGTTCCTCCCCACTTCAGGGAAACATATGGTGAGCAAACATTTTTAGTAACAGGCACATCTCTTGTGTAGTTAATGACTGAAACCTGGAAGCTACACGTGAACATGGAACGATCATGGGTTCCTCAGTAGTGTACAAATATGTTGAATTGTAAGGATGGCTCTTTGATTTTGTTAACGGACTTAATATTGTTTTCTGTCCTTTCTTACATGTATGCATAGACCATGAAGCAGAAGTGGTTTCTGTGTGCAGCTCTGCTTTTAGCAGGTGCTTCTGCTATACTGGCACATGAAGCAGATGACCATGACCATGACCATATTCATGATGACAATGATGTAATAGATATTGAAGATGACCTTGAAGATGGTGTAGAAGAGATAGAGGAATTGAAGCATGAAGCCAGCACTCCTCCTCCACTTCCAAAGGTTTGCTTGAATACTTTATTCCAGTGCAGATATCCATCAAAGGGGATGGAGTATTTTTTAATAAGTTTATAATTTAGTCTGACTTTAACCTTCCTATGAGAATTTGGAGGCCAGATTGCAACTTGCTGCAATCTGCTTGCTTTTGGCAGAAAGGAGCTCCTCCATGATAAGATACGGCAAATATTAATTACATCCCTGCTTAAGTTACTGCATTACCAGGAGTGATTTTGGATGTTTAAAGCTTGGAGCACTTCGTGCACATGTTTTGGGATTGTAGCTTCTTGCACATGGGAATCTGCTGCATTTAAAACTGGAACATTATTGGCTGTGCATTTGGCCAACACAGAGTTATAATGAAAGACAATGCAGCATAGCTTTGTGTTCTGCCTCCTTTTTCTTTGTGTTCTTCTTTTGCCTTTTGAGCTAGTGAACCTTTAAGGCAAAAAACACAAGAAAGGAATAATGAGTTTCTGGCACAGTACTGTATCATATTCCCAGGTTGGAGACTGTGACAAGATGTGGAGTATGGATGTAAGTGATGATCTAAGGAACAATATGTAAGTCTGTGTTGAATTGAAGATCTGTTTTAATCAGTTTTCAACCTTAAAATAGAATATTTTGAAAGGTTGACATACAAACCAAGAATGTAAATATCAGTTCTTCTTTATTCAAAGTAATAATCTATTTAAAGTGTTTGGGATATCTGTTATCACAGTATATTGAAATCCTTCTACATCAGGTTACCTATATGGCCCCAGTCCCAACAGGAGAAGTTTATTTTGCTGAGAACTTCGACAAAGGAACTTTAGAAGGGTAAGTGTTTGTTCAAAGAAGCATTTGTTTTAAAATGAATCAGAGTCGATAACTTGCTTATAATGCAAGTGATTGCATTGTGAGCTCTTCTATATGTATCTTAGAAAACTGAAGTTTGAAAACATTTACATTGATTTAAACTGCCACAAGATCTATTAACTGCTCTTACATTAGGAGAAACCCATGTCATTCCATCATTGGGGAAAGCACAGGGAGTAGTGACATGAAAGGTTATTCTCTGTAGGTTATCCTACTTCAGGCAATATACTTGGTACCAACCTTAATGTCATTTTGACACCAAACTAAGATCCATTTATTTACCTGGGCACTTGAGTGGTAAATCAACTCTGCTTCTGATCAATTGATTTTATTTTTTTATTCTTGAGTGTTTTAATGCTACTTTTTAAAATGAAGGGCAAGATATAAATGGAAATAATACAATAATAAATGTATACTATAATTGGTGGACACTCCCTGTTGAATGTTGTCTTGTTATGCATTGCATTCATCAAATCCTTGGTTTTTAATTTTAGGTGGGTTCTTTCTAAAGCTAAGAAGGATGAAACAGATGATGAGATTGCTAAATATGATGGTATGTATAGCATCTTTCTTGGTCTTCATTGGGTGCTGTGAGGAGAAAAAAATATTTGGGGGCATTAGCATTGAACTGTTTCACCAGATTTATTGACGATAATGTGTCTACGTATAAGCAGACTGCCAGAATAGTTGTCGTACATCAAAGCTTTGTTACTTTAAATGTCTGTAGCTGCATGCTAGAAACAAGTTCTTGTAAGATTTTTATTCACAGGAGAACTACATTTTGCATTTTTGTACATTTTTAAATACAATCTGTGCTTGGTAATTTAAGTTGTTCCTGTGATATTAGTGCTATAAATTTTCAGCTGCTACATTTGTGAATTAACTCACAATTTGTCACTCTTACATGTCACCTGAGTCATTAACTAATGCTTTTATGTAACTTCTTGCTTGTTAAATGAAGAATCTTATGTCAGATTATAGGTTTTCAAATTTTTCTGGAGTATGTTCCACTTGATCAGATACATTTTGCATTATTGAGAGTTGCAGGGACAGTAAAAACTGTGTTTATGTGATGGGGACTAGAATTGTAAATGAGGATAACTCCAACAGGTTAAATTTTATCATGAGAAGCTTGAATCAGGAGAAAAAAGATGCTAATCCCACTGCATGCATAATTTGACTTGCCTATTAAATGTAGCAACTGTTTTGCTGAATGGCTATTTTTGATGATGTGATTATGAGTGTCATTATTTTTCTATACTTTTTTATTTCACTAGTTACACTTCTCTCAGCCTCACCCACATATATGCGTGTATGAGTGTACACCTGACAGTATAGCTAACTCTTCATCTGGTTGATAGAGGAGTATAGTGCATAACAACTCATGCCAGAATAAGTTTTTTAATCTTTAGAGTGCTACATGATTTTGTATTAAGTTTTGTAAGCCATTTCCTTGGTTACAGAGAATACACTTGTATGTTTGTCTTACCTACATTTTTTCAAGATGTTCAAGGCAGCATACATGGTGTACATTTCCCCTCCATTCTAGCCTCACAGCAGCCTTCTGAGGTAGGATAGGCTTTGAAAGACTATCTGGCCCAGGTTCTCCCAGTGAATTCTGTGGCTGAGTGGGCATTGGAAGATCTCCCTCCTTGTCCAGCCATTGAAATCAATGTGCTTTGTTGGCAAGACTTGTGACTAAAGCTCTTAGGCTCAGATCTGTATCTTGTGTTGTACCAAAAGACAAACCTATGTTTAGATTTCAACCACAGATTCTGAAATAATGCATATAAACAAAATTCTTCTGTATGGAAAACATTCTAGCCTTATTGCCCACGTTTTTCTTATGTAGAGAGAATGCTTTTATATCAAAAAGCAAGTCCTTATTTGCAGGCTACATGGCTAGGATACAAATTTATTACTTTATTGTGAACTAGAATAGAGTCTTGCAAGAGCATTTGATCGTGCAATAATGTGCTATCAAGTCTGTTCTCTAGATTACTTCCTCCATTTATTCTTTCTTTCTAGTACTTAATTATCTTCTGAGGTAGGTTTTATTTCATAGAAGTGTTTTTGGTTTATACAGCAACAACTTGCTAGAATTGATAGAGCACAGTTCTTTCAGCAAATAACCATTAAGCAGGAGAAAGAACCAGAACAGGAAGAGTTCTCCACATGCATGTGCCCAGATTGGATGATCCAAAAGCATTCATACGTTGCCTGTTGTCAGAGTAAATCATGCATATTTAATTCTGACAAATCATCATGGTGTGAAGTGGCTCCTAGCAATTCAGAAATTTGCTTTTGACAGTATGGGTTGGATTCTAAGTTCCCTTCTGCCAACAGATTTGCCTTTTTCATCTGCAGAAGTGACTCCACTGGAGGAAGAGATGGGGGTGATTTTCACCAATTTCTCTTACCCTCTGCATCTTCCTGTGCTACCCCATCCCACACATGTTGTTCAGAGGGGCCCTGAACCCTCTGAAGCAGTTTCTTTTAGTTATGCAAGGGGCTGTAGGGGGAGTGGGGATTAGCAAAAAGTACCTCTATCTCAGCTGGTGAGAGTATCCCATGAGATGTGAATGGAATTCTGCTGAAAAGCCACTGCCATTGACAGAACGTTGAGCCTTAGCTGAAAGATTGTAAGGAAGGGTATGTTGTAGGTGACCCTCCAGAACAAAGTTACTTCTGTTTGCTAAACAGTTGCTTTTACTTCTAAAATGTAACTGTAGATTATTGCAGTCAGCAGTGGCTGAAGTATAAATAAGGGTTCTCTTCGTAAATGCTGCCAAAGCCAGCAAAACTGTACATTATGATTGTTGTAAATATAAGGCCTGGAAATGACATGGCTGTTTGTACTATGTGTGTTTGCAGTCATGCAAGGCTTGTTATAAAAAGAGTTGAAGTAACAAGGAGCTTCCTAACCTATTGTGTTTTCTTTTATAGGGAAGTGGGAAGTTCAGGAAATGAAGGATACCAAACTTCCAGGGGATAAAGGACTTGTGCTGATTTCCCGAGCCAAGCATCATGCAATCGCTGCCAAACTTACCAAGCCCTTCATCTTTGATACCAAGTCCCTCATTGTACAGTATGTAGAAGTAGCTTTTTGTGCCCATTATGTTCTGTGTAGTAGTGAAATGAGTACACGAGTGTCTGTTGAAGTGTACTCCATGTATCATATGCAGGTGTACAAGGGTTTTGTTTAAGGGAAGCAGGGGTTGTGTCTTTGAAGTCAAAGCCAACAAGATGAAATTCTCAACCTTGTTGACAAAGTCAGAAAGTTGCTTGGTCCAAATGGTTTTCATCCTAGAGTTCTCAATGCAAAATTGAAATAGCTGACCTTACCAAAATATTTAACATGTCCCTAAAATTAGCCCTTGTACCAGAGGATTGGAGAATGGCCAGCCAATGTAGCACCAATTTTTTAAGAGGGATCTGGGGAATCATCCTAGACAAGTTAGCTTAACTTCTGGTAAATTGCTTGAAAATGTTAATAAAGACAGAATCAGTAAGCACATAGAGGGTCAAGCCCTGCTTAAAAAAACAAAAAATGCATGACTTCCATAAGGGGAAGTGTTGTATCACTAACCTATGAGATTTTGAGAGTGTCAGTAAGCACATAGGCATGGGCAATCCAATAGGCATTGTTTATTCGGATTTCCAAAAGGCTTTTGACGAAGTTCTTCACCAAAGGCTCCTGAACAAACTAAGCAGTCATGGAATAAAAGGGGGTCCTCTTACAGATCACCAGCTGGTTAAAGAACAGAAGAAAAGGGTGGGAATAAATGGCAGCTTCTTCCAATGGAAATGTGTAACCATCGCAGTCCCACAGGGCTCTGTATTAGGACCAGTGCTTTTCAACCTATTCATAAATGATCTGGAATTTAGAGTAAGTGGTGAAGTAGCCTAATTTGCTAATGACATGAAATTTTTTAGGTTAAAAGGTTTAATCTAAACTTTTAGGTTAAAACCAAAAGGGAATGTGAGGAACTCCAAAAGGATCCTTTCCAACTGGGAGAATGGAATGAGCATCAAATGCAGTTCAGTATGAGCAAGTGTAGAGTAATGGATATTGGGGCAAAAAATCCCAACTTCAAGTATCTGCTGATGGGATCTGAACCTGCAGTTACTGAACAAGAAAGGGCTCTTGGGGTAATAGTGGACAGCTGGATGAAAATGTTGGCCCAGTGTGCAGCTGCTGTGAAGAAGGCAAGCTCTTTGCTAGACATACTTAGCAATGGGGAAAAAAATAGAACTGCCAAGAGTGTACTACCTTATACAATTCTTTGGTGCAACCACACGTCGAATATTGTGTTTAGTTCTGGTGGTCTTACCTGAAAAAGGACATCACTGGGTTGGGGAAAAAGCACAGGGAATGACAATAAAAATCACCAGGAGGCTGGAATAGTGGCTACAATAACTGGGAATGTTCAGCTAAGAAAAAGGCAAGTAAGGAGAGACATGGTAGAGGTGTTGAAAATAATGCATGGTGTGAAGAAAGTGAGGAGGGATACATTTTTCTCCCTCTCCCATAATACTTGCAGCTTGGGCCATTTCAAGAAGCTGGTTTGTGGAAGGTTTAGGACAGAGAAAAATACTTCATACAGCATATTGATAGACTTGAGGGGTCCTGTGGGCAGCTGGTTTGCCACCATGTGTATGGAGTCCTGGACTAGATGGACCATTGGGCTAAACTAACATGGCTTTTGTTATATACAGTTGGTAGAAGCTGCCATTATGTTCTTTCAACAGCAGAGATAATAATGCCTTGCTGTCTTTTCCACTATCTGAGCCAATTGCATGTAATAAGTAAGCTATGGTTTGACTGTTAGAGACCTATCTTGTGCTTACCCTCTAATTTGATCCCTTGCTAAAGCAGAATTCAGTGACAGCTTAATTGGGAAACCTAGTTGCCTTCAAGCAGAATTTAAAATTGTGCCTTAAAGTGGTTCTCTAAATACTGATTTGGAGCCAAACCAAAGAGGGGAAGAGATGATGCATGCCCATGATGCACAGTCTTGATGATCAAACCTTGGTTTGCCTGTTCTGTGAAATGAATAACAGTTTTCAAGAAGAGCTAATGAGTGGGGGTAGTTTGTATTTTTGTGTGGGGGTTGGTTTTTTGGTTATGGTTTTTGACATTGTATCCTCTTATGTTATAAACTAGGTATGAAGTCAATTTCCAAAATGGAATTGAGTGTGGTGGTGCATATGTGAAGCTGCTTACCAAAACTAATGAACTGAATCTGGTAAGTGGCATTCCATTGTTGTCTCCTGAGCATTCGTTCCTAATACTTTGTGCTGAATTTTTTCCTGTGTTTGCTGCTCTACAAAATTGAATGTGTTCAATGACTAGCTGTTGCTGTAATAGAATAGGCTGTGGGCCTACATGTGTACACTACATTTTTATAGTCTGCCAAAGGATTGGTACACGCTTTTTGCTGAAAGCTGAGGATCATCTTCATTTTTGGACTAACATTGCAAAAATTGGCACATTGCAAACATTTTCAATGTTAGTATCCTTAAACAGTATGGATTAGTAGTTTGAATTTCATATCGTGGCTTATAATTTTATTGTACTGTATCACTCGAGTCTTTGAAAGTTGGATTTCCAGAACTGTACAATTCTTACTGTAGAAAGACAGTGACAAAAGAAATAGTCTAGTTAGATTTTTATTGGTTCTTGTTAATTTTTTCAGTGCATTTTGTGTGCAATGGGATGGTTCTTAATTTACCGAATTCAGCAGAAGTAGAATCAGTGTTCATAAAATGTAGAACAGGATCTTGTCTTTCTAATTTATACAGTGTTTTTGAAGCTCTGTGTCCGTGTGTTTTAAAGGATCAATTCCATGACAAGACTCCCTATACAATCATGTTTGGCCCAGACAAATGTGGAGAAGACTATAAATTGCACTTCATCTTCCGGCACAAGAGCCCCAAGACGGGCAAGTATGAGGAGAAGCACGCAAAGCGTCCTGATGCAGATTTGAAGAACTACTTTACTGATAAGAAGACTCATCTGTATACACTGGGTAAAGCAGCCACATCTTTGGAGTTTCTTGTGAAATCTAGTGTAGGTAGCGCTTATCAAAGATAGGAATGAATCTGAAGATGTTAATGGCAGTTGTTGATAATATTTTAATAAAGTGAATGCCTTTTATTTCTTGCATGACCCATATGTGAAACCTTGAATAACTTTTTGCAGGAGAAATTAGGAATTCTAGTAGATAATTAGGCTTCCAAATACATATTTTAAATATAGCTACATTGCTAGTGTAAGAAACCTGAAATACTTTCACATTGTTAATTCAAGTGAATGGATATTTTTACATGCTTTATCCCATTTACTGTAAAGATGGCTTCTGGCTGGTGTTTCAAGAAGACAGAGTAGGGATGCACAATTTCAGGTTCACAGACTAAATCCAACCTACATGGGCTTTCAGTCCAGCTCTCTGTGCTTGTCTTGAAGGACATGTCCCTTCCCCAGACTCTGATCCCTTTTCCTAGATAGCCAGTTATAAGTACAAATTGCCCCAAAGTCATTTGTCTGTTGAGAGTATAAAAATCTTAATGAACACCGTTAAATTTAGCCTTTTGGATGAAAGATGTTTGGCATCTCTGCAGACACTAATTTAAAGTTAAAATGTTTTAATGTCTTGAAAATATTATACCTATATTTCCCTGCCTTGTTCTAGTTTTGAACCCAGACAACAGCTTTGAAATCTTAGTTGATCAAACTGTTGTAAACAGTGGGAATCTGCTGTCTGATATGACCCCTGCTGTGAATCCTCCACGTGAGATAGAGGACCCAAATGACAAGAAGCCAGAGGACTGGGATGAAAGAGCTAAGATCCCTGATCCAGATGCTGTAAAGCCAGATGATTGGTGAGTAGCTGTTAGAGTATCCTTGGGAGAAGCAGTGACTTAATAAAGCTGCTGTGATATCTTTGCTACTGGTATGAAAAAAGTCATAAAAGACAAAAGTGAAGTCCAGTTTTTGAAGCCTAATTTCAGACCATCAGAATATTTTTCGCTCGGAATTGCAGCAAAGCAATGCCACTTGAAGTTGAAGGAAAAATTTAGAAAGCAAACAAATCTTTGGTTAATAGTGAAGGTCCATCAGAGAATAGAAAAGGTGTTTATCTCTTGAATATATGCAGTCTGCATGATCTACAAAGAAGAGCTTTTCTCTTTTTACCAGCAGGCATGCTGTGAGAGACAGGTGACACACAGGAGGGCCTCTGGCTGCAGGAGAAGAACTACATCATATAGGCAAAGATGGTTTTTAAAGGGATTCTAGGCTTGATTAGTTAAAGGCTTGATTTGTGCATGGAAGTGATAAGGCAGCCAAAAAAAATGGTATAGGAGTGGTGCAACATGCTCCTTGAAAATGTTATGATCTGTTCCTACTATCTTCTAGGGATGAGGATGCTCCTGCTAAGATTCCAGATGAAGATGCTGTGAAGCCAGAAGGCTGGTTAGATGATGAGCCAGAGTATGTTGCTGACCCTGATGCAGAAAAACCAGAGGATTGGTAAGTTAAATGCTTATTCTGCATTATAGTGTTTTCCACCATAAACTATTGTAGTAATGTATTGGTCAACTTTAAATTATGCAAGTTCATATAGGAAAAAGTACCCCTTTCTGTCTAAAGTTGCACAGGGTTGTACCTTAAGTGAATGATGTGAAAAACGGATTTCAGAACTTGTGTCACTTCACTGCCTGTTTCTTTTTGAGCTTAAACCTGTATCTAGTTGTGTTTGTGAAATATGGCTGGTTGTATTCCAGCACTTACCACATCCTGCATTTTAAGTCTAGCTGACTTCTTCAAAGATTGAACATGCACATATCTGCTTAACAGATTGATGCTTGGTTTGTGTAACTTGGGAAGGATTGATAGGCTGCTGGCAGTCTTTTGCTCAACAAGTTTTTAAAAAGCAGACAAGATTAGTTGCAGAATAGTTTTGTTACCAAAAACAGTTTCTCACCTTTTACTTTAAAGCACTGTAGTATGCTGTAGATTCTTAAATTGTTTTGTATTATGTGTGAAATTTATATAATCATTGTGGTGATTGTGGATAGACAGATTTTCTCCTTCTGATTGTGCTAGAAATTGGTCACTTAATGAAATTGGAAGTAGATTGAGGATAGGAGAACTGCTGTTTGATGCAGTACAATACAGATTAGAACTGCATGAGTAGACTACATCTACTAGCTCAAAGGAGGACAAGCTGAGGACTACATTCTCCCATCATCTCTTACTATTGGCTATGCTGGCTAGGACTGATGGGAGTTGTAGGTCAAAATATCTGGATTCTGCAAGTGACCCATCATTGTATTAGATCAATGGGGCTTCATACTAAAGTACTACTCATTTCATTAGGTCCGCTCTAAGTATAGGTAAGTCCACATCTAGTCCAATGAATGTGTGCAATATGTATCAAAGATGTGGTAATGGTCATGAGTTAGATGGTTTTAAAATAGAATGGACACATTTATGGAGGAAGAGGTCTGTTGGTATTTGACTCAATAACTAAGTTTGGAAATGATATTTCTTCAAACGCCAGTTGTTTGTACATTGTAAACAGCCAAAGATTGTTTTCTTCATGCCCTATTGCAAGCTTACTAAAAAGCCTCTACTTTACACCCACATAGTTTTTTGATCTGTCTTGATCTTGATCTGTCTGCCTGCCTTGATTGGATATATAACTAATGATAGTGAAGTCAGTTATTGAAATAGGGCAAGTAAAAAGTTCATATTGTACCAAATAGTTAATAAAGGAGTATACAAATACTGCACAGATTGATAGTATTATAATCTGTGCTATGGAATGGTCTTAACCCAGTTAGCATGTCACAGCAACAAATCATGAGTTAACTGTTTAAGAATTGTTTCCACTTTGTATAATCAACTGTGAATACCCCATTGAACCCATAAACAACCCAGGTTCCCAGGTTTGAACAAAAAGTTGCTAGGTTAACTCTGGGTTATTTTCAGGTTAAACAACCCTAGTATCTAGGTTTGGATGTCAACCTAAGGCGTGTTCATAGGTTGTTTAGGCACGCTGTAAGGAGTTTGTGTGTAGTGTACATGCTGGCAACTTGTGGATTAGTTATGATATATGAACTGGTACAGTAAACATGATTAGCCTTGTAACATGTGAGGCATGGTTACCTCAGGCTGTCCTGAATATATGCCTAATTTGTTGGCGATGTCTTAAAGTTTCACAGTTGGAAGTTGCATCATGGTACCAAGATGTTATTGTTTGCAGAAGAGAATGATTTAGCTGTAAAGATGCAGTTAATAAGGTTGCAAGTAATGGAGTAGGGTTTGTGTTAACTGTGAATTAACCTAAAGATAGTTGGGATAACTGCATCAATTCAAATGACAACCCACAATTAAACAAATCAAGGATGGCTTGGGAGCAAACAAGCATGCTGGCTTTCATCTACTTCTGCAGTTCTATGGATTCCAATTCTGGGTTATTCCTCCTGTTTGTTGTTGTTAGTCGCGAAGTCATGTCAGACCCATCGCGACCCCATGGACAACATTCCTCCAGGCCTTCCTGTCCTCCACCATCTCCCGGAGTCCACTTAAGCTCACACCAACTGCTTCAGTGACTCCATCGTGCCACCTCATTCTCTGCCGTCCCCTTCTTCTTTTGCCATCTATTGTTCCCAGCATTAGACTCTTCTCCAGAGAGTCCTTTCTTCTCATTAGGTGGCCAAAGTATTTGAGTTTCGTCTTCAGGATCTGGCCTTCTAAAGAGCAGTCAGGGCTCATCTCCTCTAGGACTGACTGGTTTGATCGCCTTGCGGTCCAAGGGACTCGCAGGAGTCTCCTCCAGCACCACAATTCAAAGGCCTCAGTTCTTCGGCGCTCAGCCTTCCTTATGGTCCAGCTTTCACAGCCATACATTGCAACTGGGAAAACCATAGCCTTGACTATACGCACTTTTGTTGGCAGGGTGATATGTCTGCTTTTTAGTATGCTGTCTAGATTTGCCATAGCTTTCCTACCCAGAAGCAAGCGTCTTTTAATTTCTTGGCTGCAGTCCCCGTTTGTGGTGATCTTGGAGGCCAGGAAAATAAAATCTGTCACTACCTCCATTTCTTCCCCATCTATTTGCCAGGAAGTGAAAGGACCGGATGCCATGATCTTAGTTTTCTTAATGTTGATATTCCTCCTATAACGTTCCACAATTCTAAGTTCACATGTCATGTTAAACTACAGAAAGAGCATCCTTGCTGTTTTGTTAGCAGGCATGGATGAGTAGTCTGGTTCCAGCACTTACGCGCACTCTCTTGTCCACAATGATCCAGTTTGTTTAAATTGTGGATTGTTCTCTCATCCAAACTTGGGTCAGTGTGTATGTTTATAAAAATGGAGAAACTTTGTCTTCCCTAATATTTATTAGCTGGGGAAGAAAATTAAGCATATAAAGAATGTAATAGTTAAGTAAATCAAGTTGCCTTGTAACATCACTTAAAGTCCATCACACTTTTCAGAGACCATTATTTTCCCATTATTATGTGTATTGCTTGCTAGCTCAAGAATCTTAACACTACTTTTCTTTATGAAGTAAAGTCTGTTCACAACTGAGGTTTCATTCAGGCTCTGGGAAACAGCTCTGACCCAGCACAGGTTTTCGTAAACTTAACATTCTCATGAAAGATAGGGAGGAATATTACACACCCTATATATATGTGTGCACACACATCCACCCCATTCTTGGAAGACAGAATCAAAACTAGAAGTAAAAAAGCAGCCAATATTTACAGAAGCCTAAAGATGACAACAGTGGTGGAGTTCAACATTAAGGAGCATAGTCTTAATACATCAAATATCTTGAAAAAAAATATTTTTAAGTTAGCTGTTCAGCCAGTGAGGCAGGTTGAATGACATCTGGGGATAAGTGGGCATGTCCTTACTTGGAGGTCTTGTGTTAGAGGAGTTGAGAAGCCTGGTACTACCTCCTATATCACCTCATTAGCTGCATAAGTAAAGAAGTAGGTAGAATTGTTCTGAATAATATTGAAAGTGTTGTATTCTCACTAAGTTTTTTTCAGCTCTGGTATCCTGGTATTGAGGAATTAAATATTAATTCCAGCTTATAGCACAAAGTTGCTTGAATCTTGCATTAATAATCTTGAACTATATAGATTCTTGAGTTGATTACAAGTCAACTACAATTTCACATTTATTTTCAATTTTTAGTTTCTATTAAAGTTACAAAGGATTTCTAGTATTATCTGTGTGATGGTTCCTGTTATTCAATATTGGGTTAGTGACTTGTAGGATAAATTGCTATTATGTCAAAGATACTGTTTAGCCAAAAAACAAAATTAACAAACCCATGTGGGATCCTAAAAAAGAACTCTTTTTTGAAGGGATGAAGACATGGATGGAGAGTGGGAGGCACCCCAGATCGCAAATCCCAAATGTGAATCAGCTCCTGGCTGTGGTGTCTGGCAAAGACCCACAATTGACAATCCAAACTATAAAGGCAAATGGAAACCTCCCATGATCGATAACCCCAGCTACCAGGTAAGATGTCTTATTTATATTTTAAGATCCAAATAAAAAAATTGAACTTGGTGGATTACAACTGTTGATCTTTTAGGTGTACCACAAGACTTTTCTCTTTTGCTGCAACATGGATGAACGTTGTTCCCCTTTTGGAAACAACCTGATGTGTATTAAGACTATAGGTTGCACTTCAAACTCATGGATTGGATGCTATGCTATATATACGCACATTGCTCTTGTTACTCACTAAACAGTTTTGAATCTCAGTTTCCCAAGAACGATATATGCTGCCTGCCTGACTATACCTTAGCTTTTAACTTCAATCATAAATATAAAAGCTTTAGTCTGCTCCAGCAATGGCTCCCTGGGATTTTAGCAGACTTCGTTCACAGCCCTGCTTCCTATTTCATTTTTATTAGAGATGCCAGGGATTCAACTAGGATATCATGCATTCAGTGTACATTATTTATTATGGACCTCTGAGCAGACACCTGTTCTAGTTGTGAAAGAAATGATTAAAAAATAAATTGGAAAAACAGTGGAAAATGCTAATCTTTACATACAATAGATTCATCAGTAATGAAATTGTGGGTTTAAGTTAAAAAAAAAGATTTCCTTAAATATATTAATCAGTACAAAATCTTTGAAGGGTCAGTTAAAATGAATACTTGTGTCTGAATTTACTGAATGGTTTCTGTGCATTCTTCAGGGCATTTGGAAGCCAAGGAAGATTCCAAATCCAGATTTCTTTGAAGACTTGGAACCTTTCAGGATGACCCCCTTTAACGCACTGGGACTGGAGCTGTGGTCTATGACCTCTGACATATTCTTTGATAACTTCATCATCTGTACTGACCGAGCTGTGGCAGATGACTGGGCTAATGATGGCTGGGGTCTGAAGAAGGCAGCTGATGGTGCTGCTGAGGTGAGAAATAAAAGCTTTGCTCCTTAAGTGGCTCTGCCAAGGGTTGGCAAATATTTTCCTATCCTTCTTACTCTTCCTTCTTTTTAGAACAGGTTCCCCCCCGCCGCCGTGTGTGTGTGTGTGTGTGTGTGTGTGTGTGTGTGTGTACGTGTGTACGCATGACTGCATGTGCATACATATTCAAGAGAAAGTACAGGGAGAATTCAGATTTCTTCATTAATGATATGGGAAACCAGTTCTGACTTTTCACTACATTCATACAACTTGGGTTACATAATTGCCCCATTTGTACAAATTAGAAGCCTGTGCTAAAAGACTGATTTATTTACTTATTTATTTAAAACATTTTTATGCCGCCCCCATCGCATCGAAGCCTCGGGGTGGCTCACAACAGAAACAAAATACATAAATAAATAACAATATAACAATAAAAAGGTTATTTAAAAACCTCTGGTGCATCTCGGCTAAAAATTTAAAATCCTATAAATAGAAATAATTTAACAATTAAAATAAGTTTTAAATAAAAAGGTCTTAGCCTGGCGCCGAAAAACAAATAACGACGGTGCCAAGCGGACCTCTCTGGGGAGCGCATTCCATAGATGAGGCGCCATCATTTACTATGAGCCAGTGTGATGTAGTGGTTAAGAGCATGGGACTGGGACTCGGGCAATCTGGGTTCTAGTCCCCGCTCGGCCATGGAGCCAACTGGGTGACTTTGGGCCAGTCACAGACTCTCAACCCAGCCTACCTCACAGGTTGTTGTTGTGGGGATAAAATGGAGGAGGAGAATGATGTAAGCTGCCTTGAGCCCTTTGTAGGAAAAAGGCAGGATATAAATAAAAAAAATGGTAGACCTTTAAGTCAAAGGTATTTTATTCCACACCTGTGTTGCATAGGAAACTGTGGTTTATACCATTGGCCCCCATCTGACAGGCAGTGGTTCCTCTGTGCTTCAGAGAAGAGCCTTTCCCAGCCTTTCCCAGCCTGACCTGTAAGTGTCTGGGCTTGAATCTGGAATCTCTTGCATGCAGAATATGTGTATCAATATTCTGATACACACAGCTACAGCTCTTCTTTTCTACAAATTCAAATGCACTTTATTGTTTCCTCCAGTACATAACAGGCAATATGGCTGCTAAAGGAGGCTGCAATCTCTTGCTGTATCTCCTAGCCTTTCTGAGCTGGTGCCCACTCTTATAATTTCCCCAGAAATAAAACATGCCTTGATCCATTTAGAGTGTTGACATACGCTGTTGTTTTTTTTTAATTGCCTTCTTTGTTGGGCCACATGACCTGTCCTATAATTTTTCATTTGTGGCCATTAGTTATCTTCTGTGATTGTTTTAGCTACAATCCATATTTCTATTGAAATTTTATCATTGTTTTTTAGCCTGGAGTAATGGGTCAGATGATAACAGCTGCTGAAGAGCGTCCCTGGCTTTGGGTAGTCTACAGCCTAACTGTAGCTCTGCCTGTATTTCTCATTGTCCTCTTCTGCTGCTCGGGAAAGGTATGTGCTCTGGAAATTGTGAGTGTTAAAATATGTTCGGTAGGAACAGGATGGATATTAACTATTTAGGAGAAATTTCATTGTGGAATACTTCTGACAATTGTTTCAGAAACAACCAAGTGCTGCAGAATACAAAAAGACAGATGCTCCTCAGCCAGATGTAAACGAAGAAGAGAAAGTGGAAGAAAAAGACAAGGGAGAAGCAGAGGATGAAGAGGAAGAAACAAATGAAGAAAAACCAGGTAGAATAGATTACTGGTCCTGAAATTGCTTGAGCTTTCTCCTTTATTTATTTTATTATAAAAATGGAAGTTTAACACCAATGAAGAATGAAAAGGTGAATACTGGTCTGCAGATGTTGCAGTGACATTCTTTTAAAGAATGAACACTTCATGTTTATACTTTAGAAGAGAAGCAGAGGAGTGATGGTGATGCAGAAACTGCTAGTCAAGAGGAAGAGGAGGAGGAAGAGGAAGAGGAAGGTAGTAAACCCATTACAGAGGTATGTAACACTTCATTCTGGAAGAATAGTAAAACTACAGGCTTTTAAATCCCTTATGTAAGAGTACCTTGTATAGAACGTATTTCCTAAACCATGAATCAAAACCTTGGCACAGATGGGATCAGTTCTGTGAATTCTGAAAGCCATTGCAACTTCAATGTTTAAAAACCCTTATGAATATGCTAGTATCTGGAAGGGTGCAGTCTTTTTACCCCTGGTCTCAGTTTGCCCAAGCCTCTGAACTCAGAAGCTTATATGAATCCTATACCCCAGATGATGTGGTGTGGTGGTGACTATTGTTGCACACCATGAATTTTGTGTACACTGACATTTTCAGCCATTGAGATAAAGCATCAGGGAAGGAGGGAGGCTAGGGCGTAAATAGGAATTGGCATCATTGCTGAACTGAATATTATGCTTGTCCAAAATTTCCACTGATGAAGGGGGGAGATACTGGATTTTGCTGCATGTTCTGGTAACTATGTTGTTTCTTACGCACACACTTGCTGCAGTCTACCTCCAGTCTTCCAGGACCTTGTCAAAATGAGAAGTTACTATACCAGCACAAAGAACTACTTGAAGATTGCTCTAGACAAAACATATTTGGCAATGCATGACCTATACGTGGAATAATTTACAAAGGAAACTTCTGTTTTAAGTGTGACATTGTTACCATAAGCATTAGTTTTTTTTGTTTTTTTTTTTAAAGGCACCACTAGATTACTTGAGCTGATGCAGTTTACTATTTTGTAGTAAAATTGAGGAAAATAAGCATGGCCTCAGTATTACCTTTTCTCCTGCTTTGGACTTGGGAGATTTATGAATTAGTTTTTAATGCTTAGTCTAAACATATATGCAATGGGATACCAACAATTTGGTTAGACTAGCAACTGAAAAAGCAAGCTACTTCATTTTAAACAATCGCTTGTCTGTGTTTGGCATTGGTAACTACTGTTGTTGAAAGAACAAAGTTCCAGCTGCAGACATCACTCCTCTTGGATAAAGAAATCCTCTTACTACTTTCTCAAGCTTAAAAATAAAATTTTCATGTAAAGTAACTTTTATGTAAATAAAATATATTTTCCTATCTTTACAGGAGGAAGAAACTGTGAATAGGTCCCCCAGAAACAGAAAACCAAGAAGAGATTGAAATATCCTAAGAACTTGATTAATTTTCCCCAACATGTTTTTGGGAGAAGGACCTTGGATACCTTTTGCTGAAACTCAAAAAACCTCAAGACTTCATCATCCACAGGTTCCTGTCAAATGCTCTCCAGTGTAAATGAGTGTTTAGCAGTCAAATATTTGCAATTGTGTTTTAAAATAGAATATTCCTGTAGAAGGAGAATGCATTTAACACAATCGAGCTATGAATTTCTGGAATGTTACAAGAACTAACATTTTTCTTTATTTTTAAATAGAATGATAGAATAGCCAGTCTCTCAACTTTGGCTTAAATTAATGTATTAATCTGTCAATGGAAATGAACAGCAAACCTTAAAAATGCTAGTTATACAGTTTTTATATTTTTTTTCTGTACAAATGTTTTACAAACATGGGCACTCTTAAATCTTATTTCCCTTAGTTTGATCATGTTAAGGGGCCAATGCCGTTAAATTAACCATTTTCACTTCCATCCAAGACAGGATAGTTTAAATCTATTTAAAGAATATCAAGCACTGAAACTTTTCTTCGCATTCAAGGAAAACCACAAAGAAGCCATGTAATACTTATATTGGTCATGGGTACTGCCCAGAAAAAACAGTATTCACAATTGACCTGAATTTTGGAGCAAGTTCTGGTGTAGGGTACCAAGTCTGAGACTGGGTTATCTTGTTGCTTTAGGCCTTGACTACTTCTTAATATGAACTTTATTTTCCTTGTGTTTGGGTTTTTTTTACAGTCCCCCCCATGGTTTTTCAACTCCTTCCTGTTCCAGCTTCTGCTACTATGCAGTTTGTTCAGAATGCAGCTTAGCTGCTATAGAATACATATGCTCAGCTCACTGTTAAGTCTGGTGTGTGTGTGGTTTTTTTTAATCTCAAAAGGTAGAACAATACCTTTCTGGGGCCAAACACTGTGGACAGGGACAGTGTTGCTAAGTTTTGCATTGTTTCCATTGTATGTACATTCATGCACAGATGAGGCATAGACAGCCTAACCTAAACAAACTTGCACCAAAAGCAGATGTCAGTATTTGTGGCTGAGGAAGGAGTATGTGAAAACATACTGGGCAAATGTAATATTTGGAGTCTCAATCTGCTCTTCATGTATCAAACTATATTGTGAATGTAGGGGGGTCCAGATCCAGCTGAATAAATTTTTTAAAAAATGTGTTGCATTGAGTATCTAGCCATCTAAAACCATTTTTGTGTGGAATACAGACTATCAGTGTATAGCTCTAAGAATAAATTTATTCTTTTAACATTGTATTGGAAGACACTGGGTCAGAGGAAGAGAGTAAATGTTTTGCTACCTGTTGCCCTCTGCTTACGGGCAAAATGGTTGTATGTGCACTGAATAGGAACACTCAAGGCTTTTACTTGCAGATAAGAAATTTTCAGAGTGAGAGCTTTTGCTGCGTGCAAGGGATGATTGTCAAACATTTGAACAGGACCATAAATGCACTACGGAACGTTTTGGCTTGATCAGTGTGTAACTTAATTCAAACCTGTTTATCAGTCTAGTTATGGACCACTTTCCTTTTAGAAACTAAATTTTATTCACCTTCTAAGACTTCTAATTACCAGATCTTTCCAGAGTAGTGCTGCTGTCCTCACTGGAAGCAACAGCAAGCATTGCTTGGTTAATAGCACCTTTTAGCTATTAAGCAGATTGCAAAAGGAACTCTTGTCCATAGCTGCCTGTCATTTATTTTCCTAGACAAAGTGACTTGCCATTGTCATTTTAACCCCTCAGTTTGTGCTAATTGTAAATGTATTTGAATGAATGCTCTCTGCCTTGTGAACAAGCTGTTGTTCCACCAAGGCAAAAATGGGAAACGTGTTCCTCTTTCTTCAGAGTCCAGAGAATAATGAAATTGACTTTTCTTTTTCAGGTGAAGGTGATGCTTAATTTATAGTTAAATATTTGACATTCACAGGATCTCTCCAGAATGCTCTCCTGCTTGCATGTTTTGGCTTTTTCATGTCATTAAAATTAGAAAAGGCACTACCATAATTATCTTACAATCTGTTGCTTGAAATATGCTAATTACAAAAAGAAAAACAATTCACACTGGGCTCAAAGGTGTGTATCAAGGAATACAGCACACTGAGAGAGGACAGATAGATCAGCTATTTCTGAATAAAGCAAGAATACACATATGAAGTCAGTCGCAGCTTCCAAATGACTGACTTTATAAATTTTATTAAGTTTGAAGAAAACACATTCTGCTGTTGGAAATCCCTTATACTGGCAATTGAATTGATAGTGGGAAAAGCACAGTCCTAGACTGCGTTAATGACAAAACTTTCCACTCTCAAATAAGAGAACGTGAAGGTATTAGACTATTTTTTATTATTTTGGATAACGAAGTGCATTCTGGCATTTCAGATCCATCTGTGTTAGTGTGTTGGACAAAAGTTTAGGTGCTTTTAAACAAAACCATGCACTTCAATAAATAAATGGTCTTTCATACATGCAATCTAGCATAAATTTAAAATGTTCATACAAAATGCACTGATAGTATATGTAGATATGGACAGGTGAGTCTCATGCAATCAGCCTCAAATGGGGAAAGGTATCTTGGATCAATGTTTGGCTCCAGTTAAGCTGTGGCAGTAAATATGGTGCTAAAGATTAATTTTTGGCACTGTTCTGCCTTTTCTCCACTATAGTTTTCTAAATGCCAGTATTGCCTACATAACAGTTTCAGATGCAAACCCCTCAAGTGTTGGTATACAAGACTGACTTTCTCATAAAAGTCCTGACTGTTATAAACCTAAAGATGCAGTATGCATATAAATATATTGGTTAAGTTATAAACAAATGTAAGCTTACTCTAATAAAGAAACATAAATCACTATTTTTTCTATTGTCTAGTCTGCTATAATTTTTTAAAAGCTTGGGTTTATGTACAATCTAAGGAGAGAGACTTAGGCAAATCTTGAGAGAAACTTGAGGATTTTCAGGAGTAAGAGACCAAGTTCTGGAACAACTGGATATCATACAAAAGGCAGAATAGTGAAATACTCCACATTATTTGAAATGTGCTGCTGATATACTTTGAGTTTAACTGTTAAAAGTGCTAAGTTGCAACTGCATCATGTTTTAACCAAGTTGAAATGGAAAGCATTGTTTAAAAGGAATTGTTCAAGTTTCTAGTGAGAAATGCTTTATAAATGTTGAAGTGCCAAGAATCTTTTGAACTGGATCATAAAAATACACAGTTGCTTGGGTTGCTCATATTGCTTTTTTAGCTTAATTGTCATATCTGGACATGGCACCGTATCATCGTCGTTCTACAAAAGCTAACGGTACAGTAAAATAGTCTAGAGACTAGCAGAACCACATGGGAGGCATGTGGATCTAATGAAGTTGATAAACCTACAACTATCAATCCAATTATCAAGTTTGCTGTGGCTCTTAGGTACTCGGAATCCACCAGCATTTGGAGGACCATACATTTCCCACATCTGCTCCAGAAGATAGCAATCCATAGAAAATACCATGTTTTATATATTAGGTAATACAAATTGTACTTGCACCTGATCCTAAAACAAGAACTACCAAGGAAGGATTAGAATTAATAGTGTAGAGCTATAAGTTGCTTTTAAATTCTGGTCTTTCTCAGATTGTTGGCCACTTTTGGTCATTGCTTCAAAATTACATTTTCATAGCTCAGTATTTCAGTACAGAGCTCTCTCCTATTCTCTGCTTCCTGCTTGAATCTACTGCAAACCTATTTCCATGGGTAATGCATAAATCTAGTACAGTCTCCATACAACACAGCCTATTCAAAGAACCATTTGGAATTGCATTACAGGGCTTGGGTTAGGCGGCTTTCTTCTGCAAGGTAGCTTCAATAGTCGGATAGAAAATTGGTTGACTTCGTCCAATTAGGTAAGATATTTTTATAGATTTAAAAAGCTCGAAAGTTTGGAGGCCACTATTTTATATACCTAGCCCAGAGTGGCAGCCTTCAATTTACTTCCTGACCTTGTGTTTGAAAGTCTAACCAGCTCTTGAAAGTAAGTGTATTTCAGCATAGAACTACTTTTTCCTCAGATGTCTTGTGCAAGCATGTAAATTGCATTGTGGCAATCGTGTTAACGGGCGTATAGTACTAGACCACTTATTGAGGGTTGTGAAGAGGGGTCCCATGCTAGCCCAAATTTTGGGGAAAACCGATCAGCAGATCCGCTTCGTCAGAAAAAAAAATTCTGGCTCGTTCTGTGCTTCCTTCTGGTATTACATAATTTCCTGCTTTATAATTTCCAAAGCCTTGTGGAGAAACACGTTCATCTTTCTCTCAAAAGTAGCGTTGTTTCCATTGTCCGTGGGTTGAAGTTGAACCAGCAGGAGAACAATATGAAAACTAGAAATAGTCATAAATCCTGGACTGTATCAAGCACAAGCAGCAGGCTAGCATCTAGGGAAATTTGTAAAGCGAGAGGAGTTTGGGACTTAGACTTAGGAGGTGACAGGTAAAGGTTCTGGTTATCCTGATCAATGTTAACTACTAGCTCCTTTTGTTAAAACCTTTTGCGAGAGCACAGTATGCTATTTTTTCCTATGATGCAGTAGAAGAGAAATCGAAGAACCTAAAATGGCAGGACTTTTAAAATTAAAGGAACTGGTGAGAATTTAAGCTTTTTGTTACAGTCCTGAACTAGAATACGTGCCTATGGTCGTTTTTAGTGATAGGCCTTTCTCAGCACTAGAAGATAAGGCTATTCTTTCACATACTTATTCGTCCTTTATTGCTATTGTCCAATACGTAAATATTCCTTTGATGCTTAACTAGGGGAGGGGTAAAAGAGTCCGTACCCCCTCGAACGCCTCAGCTATCGCTACTATAGGCAACGTAGGAGAAGCACTTTTTGTCAATCATGAAGCTCTACCCTTTATACTCTTCCAGAAGATGAGGAGCTGAGGGGGAAATCCCTTCCCCCAACTTTAGCCAGCTTCTTCCGTTCTCATATCCCATTGGCTTGTTTGACCGTTTGTTAATCACTGCCACCAATGCATATGCGGGTGGTGACGTCAGGCACCACCTAGGAAAGTCCGCCCCCTCAACTGGGCTGGCTCACAAATGGGGAGGGGAGGGAGGCAAAGTGATAAAACAATTTCAAGATGGCGGCGGCTGAAGCGCGGATAACAATGGGAAACGGGAGGCTCGGTTGTCTCTGGGCCTGAACTAGGAGCGGGGCAGGAGAGATAAAGTTGGTAGTGGGTCGCCAGGCTTGAGTCCAGGAAACAGGGCTTCAGCCCCTCGGGGAGTGGGGCGCCCCCGCCTGGAAAGAGTGGTGGCGGCGGCGGCGGCAGCGGCAGCGGAGGAGGAAGAGGAGGAGGAGGAGGACGGAGCGTTGGGGCTGAGGGCTGCCCGGCATCCCTCGCCACCAGCCATGGCGGAGTGAAGAGCAACCGAGTCTTGTGTCCTTTTTCTCTTGTCCTCGGCTCATGGTTCTGCCTCCCTGCCCCATGGCGGAGTTCGTGGTGCCGCGGCACAGCGCGGTAATGGAGCGACTCCGCCGGCGGATCGAGTTGTGCCGGCGGCATCACAGCGCCTGTGAGTCCCGCTACCAGGCCGTGTCGCCCGAGCGCCTGGAGCTAGAACGCCAGCAAACCTTCGCCCTTCACCAGCGCTGCTTGCAGGCCAAGGCCAAGCGAGCTGGGAAGCATCGCCAGCCGCCCCTTCCTCCCCCGGCAGCCCCGTCGCAGCCGGCTTCCTCTGCTCCAGCCCCGGGTTCCGTGGGCTCTGCCTCTACCTCTGTTTCTTCCGACAGGCCCGGAATCAACGGCCTGGACGCCGACACCGCGGGCGGTGAACAGCAGCAACAGCACGGCCGTAGCAGTGCTCTCATCGCGGTAAGGTCCTAACTGGACGGGTGCAGGGTTTGTTTTGGTTTTGAGGAACCCGCGGCTCCTTTTTAAAAAGACTCGGGATGTGTGGCTATTTTGTAGCAGTGGGGATTCTTGGCTATAAAAGCCAAGGCCAACTTTTGGAAGAGTTGCGGTTTGAAATGATTTTTCTTTAAAATTTAATAATTTATTATTTGAAAGGACTGTTTTTCCATTTCTCGAATATCCCGTATTGGAGGACAAAGTGAGAGGGTATTTGTTTTTCTTCTCACCCCTGATGCAACTGTAGGGAAGGAAGACTTAATAATTGCTTATTCTAACTTTTTCCCCTCTTTACGAATGCTTATGGTCCCTTCTCCCAGCTACTTCAGGCACCTCTGCAGTCCCAACGATATAAATTTTCAGTGTTTCCAGAGAGTAACAGTCTGTAGAAAAAATAAACAAAAAAGTAGCAAATTGTGGGTTCCCAGCTGCATTGAGACCAACAGGAAGGGTTAAGTGATAATATTGTTTTCTTTAAAGCTGCCAGTGGGTGTCTTGGCCCTCCAGTGGAATGTGGCATTAATATGGTCCATATTGGTAAACAGTTGAATCTATTCAGTATTTGGAATTGAAAATGCACTGAAAACTCAAGTTATAGCATATAAAGATAACTATTTGGCAACACACAATACACAATGACTGTATTCCATTTATATCAAGTTCATTCTCTGGGGATCTAGGGTGGTTAATTTAGGAATTAGTCAATTTTATATTCATAGCAATCTTCTGAAGTAGGTTAGGTTGAGAGTGTGTGACTGGCCTAAGTGTCACTCAGTGAGTAGGGATTTGCATCTAGGCCTCCCATATCCAAGTGTGACTACAACCATTCAGGCAGCATTAGTGGAATGGTTTCATATATGAAAAACTTCAAAGTTGAGACAAGAGTATAAGTGAAGGACAGGTAAGGATTGTCTACACCAGAGGGTGAGAATTTCCTTCCAGATAACATACTTGCTACAGATTGATCCTAATAATCAGCTTACCACATTGTGTATACAATTAGTTTACATAAAATAAGGAAAGTTACTTGAAGAAGTGCTTTGAAACCTGTATTTTGTATGTTGGAATAGGTTTTACTAACTCCATCCCCGCTTATTGAATGGCCAGCATGGTGGGGCTATTGAATTATTGGGGAGAGAGAGGAGTGCTAAGAAACCAAAGTTAACAGCAGTGCTGTTGTGGTAGTCCCAAATAAGTGTACATGTCAGTGTTCCATTTTCACTTTAAGATGTGTGCCTTTGAGGTAAGCTTTTGTAGTTCTTAAATATTCATGTGAAAACAACAGACTGTAAGAATTGAAATTACTCCTTTATGCATACTGCCTTGTCCAGAGCTGTCAATTCAATATAGCAACAGTCCTTTTAAGCTTAAAACAGGCCTTTCCCAATCCTCGATCTGAGATTTTTTTTAACCAGAGATATTAGAAATTAAGCCTGGAATCTTATACAGTCAAATCGGAGTACTGTGGTCTCTTCCCAATGACACAGTTAAAATTTTGGCCTGCTGTTGAAATTGGAAGATACATACTCTGATGGTAACTTAAGTATTATCTTTTTATTTAAATATGTAAGATATACTAAAGAAAATGGAAGGCTGTGAATTTCTTAGGATTCTGTCCCTTGCATATTAAAATGAAGGAAATTAAGTAAAGTGGAAGTGGGTTTCCAGGCTATTCAAGAATGTATGGCTTTCAGCATATCTGAAAGATGCATCGAAAAAGATATTGATGTTCCTAAGGCACAATGCTACTGGTGTCTAGAAAGACAGACTCTGAGCAGTGGGGGAATATTGGAAGTCACAGGGTTTTCTGTTCTGTCTAAACATGCGCAGGTTTGGGCCCTTAGTGAGTTAGGACACCAGCACCCTCCAATTCAATTGCACAGTGTGAGATGCAGTGGAGCCAATCTCCACCACACTTCACATTATGCATTTTATGTAGACAGCTGTTTTCAGCGATACAGATTAAGTGCTGGGGAGGGGGTGGGAAGGGGGCAGGGGGAGGCTGTCGGAATCAATGTAAGCCATTTGCCTTGGACTGCTCTCTCTCCTGTCCCTTGGAAGAGTTTCAATCTCCCTGAGGCCACTTGTATCCTCAGAGAGGCAGCTGGCATGGTTCTTTCTGCACTGGTTGTAAAATGAGCACTAGCATGGCCTTCAGAACTTCATTTCCAGGGTCACAGGACCTCAGAACTGAAGTTCTAAATAATCCTGTGGTCCTCCAGAGAATGTTGAGAAGCCATAGGAGTGCACCTATTGTGTCTAAAAAACAAAATGAGTAGCCCTTTTCTATAGTACTTTACATTTTTGTGATCTCTGTATCTGATAGAATCAGAAGTTGACTGGGCCATTAGTCACTTCTCTGTTTAGAAGCTGGTTGGGGCACAGTCAGGAGGATGGGATGCTTTAATCTTTTATCTGGCGGTGAGGTTGTAAGACATTCCTGTGATCTGACACTGTAGTAAATGGTATGTGTTTTGCTTAAAAGCTGTTCAGATCTTTTTAAAGTAAAAATGGATAGGTTCTTGATAAGAGCTCATTTCATCTTAAAATATAGACAAGAAAAATGGCTCAGAGAATAATTAGATGACTTTTGTTGTATACAGTTTTTATTATAAGAGCAGTAAATGTTAAGCCGTTCAGTCTTTTAACAGTGGACTATTCTTGACACTGGTATGATATTTCTAAGCTAATTTAGTATGAATATTCTAAATACTTCATCATCTACTTACCCTGGAGGAATATATTATAGTTATATATTTCTCTTAAGGTTCTAAGTTTTGAATTTCTTCCTTCCCTGATTATTTTTTGGTGGTGGTCTCCCACATCCTGTTGCCAAAAGGGAAGGGCCAGTTTAACAAAAGGCTTAGTAGACCTGCTTATGACTGTACACTCTCTGCAGAGCATGATTTATAAACAGCTTACTGCTTTGACAGTTTCCTACATTGTTCAATAATTTGGTCATACAGAATAGGATAAGCTACTAATTTTAATGACCAAAGAATTAAGTGAAATTAAAGTAACACAGAATCTGATGATTTTTCTGCTTCATTTTTTCTTCCCTTAACAGCAAGGAACTAATGTTAAAAATGAGGTACTTAGCACCACTGTTTTCATAAAACAACATTCTAAACATTTGTGGAAGAGCTAGTGAGGCATTGGCTTCCAATTTCATTATTGGCAGATGTGCTAAAATTTCGAGAGACTAGGTTTAAATAATTGTATAAAGAACTTGTCCTTGTACTCAGTTCATAGAACAGACAACAATCTTGTTAAACTGGAATTGATGAAAAGTGCATCTATTCCAGAAAGAGCATCTCATGAACAGAATTCCACTCATAGGAACAAAAACTCAAAACACCACACAGTTTCTAAGAAACATGTCAATTACCATTGTGTTTTTACCTTCAATGAAATGTAGTTTTCTTCTGTATCCATTGTACTCCCTTTATCATGGATGTGCATGTACTTTTTACCAGCAAAATCATAATTAAACAAAAGCCTGTTGATCTAATTTACTTCTGCAATGCAGGCAGCTATGCCCTGGCAAATTTGTTTGTTTGTTCAACTTATATTCCACAATTAAATTAGTCCCAAGGACTCTCTAAGCGGATATGTGAAGGCAGCGCTGCTGTTCTAGATCATTCATCTACTTGGTTGGGAGATTTTGTGGTTGGGAATTAGATTCAGGAAGATGGCAGCACCAATAGCTGTTACATAGCTTTTGGGCCATGTGATATCTTTCACCCATATATATACCTAGGATCTACTGAGATGTGGCCCAATGTGGTGATGCATGTTTTGGAGATGGGATGACAGCAAAGTATTAAAGGGGCTTATAATCACAGGTGCTTTATGTGAGTCAGTGTTTCTGCTAACAAGTCAAATTGTTGCAAAACAAGTTGAGGTAGGGTGTTGTTGTTTTTCATTAGTCTGTAGTTTCTTGGCAAGATAATGCTGTTGTCTAGCATATCTCATTACATTTGATTATAATGATATCTTCTGCATTACAAAGCACTGGGAGCAACAGATGGTGCTGTTGAGTTGAGCTGGGTGGATAAATTAGCTTTTTATTGTACAGGGTTCTGAAGTTCTGATTTAACAGGAAAGTTTCAGCTATAGATGCAATTTATTCAACTAAAATAGTTAAACTATATGCCAGAAATAAAGGATCCATAGAGCAGGCCTGTTATTGCCTTGAGATGAACTCAGTTGTGTATTTTGTTCCTTGGGAACAAATACTTTACATAGTTCTGAGATTTATATTTGAGTGCCATTATTTGAAATAGATAGAAATCTATTAATATGTAATTTATAAAGAAAAGTTATGCTTATTATATCCTAAATTATTTTGAATTTGCATGCTTTTCCCAGTAAAGTTTGACAAAACAGTTTTCCTGTTGTATGTTTGTAAGAAATAAATGAGTTTCATATGTATCATGAGTACAGAATGGACAAATGAATACATTTTGATTGCTCTTTAAACAACTTGTCCTATATTTCCTTTATTATATCACTAGAGAGCCAGTGTGGTGTAGTGGTTAAGAGGATGGGACTGGGACTCAGACAACCTGGGTTCTAGTCCCCACTCAGCCATGGAGCCAACTGGGTGACTTTGGGCCAGTCACAAACTCTCAGCCCAGCCTACCTCACAGGGTTGTTGTTGTGGGGATAAGATGGAGGAGGAGAATGATGTAAGCTGCCTTGAGCCCTTTGTAGGAAAAAGGCAGGATATCAATAAATAAATAAAATTAGAATGTTTTCTAGAAGGGATTATCAGGGGGCTAAAACATGCACATCCTGCTAGAAAAACAATTTCACTAATTTTAATCTGGTGCATAACTATCTAGTAGTCTTAAAACTTGTTTGGTATGTTGGCAGGTAGTATTGATTTCTTTTTTTTCAGTGTTTCCTTTAAGATTTCATCTTAGAACAGGTTTTTCTTGCCTTTACACTGCTTTGGTGGGGCTCCTGTCTGACTCATTCGCCAAGCTTCTGTAAAGTGCTCTTCTGAGAGAACTGCATATGTTAGTGTAGGTTTTGTCAACTTCATATAGATTACAAAATATATGAATTTTAGCATAAACACATACAGAGTAGTTCATCACTGTTAGGCTGTTTGCAATAACTTTGTAATGCTGAAAATAATTAGGAGTAAATTGGACTGCAGTCTTTTCCTGTAATAATTGAGAGACAAGTGAAACCTGTTGCATTATGGAGTGTTCCTCTTCAGGATTCCAGCAATGCCTTTTCCAAAGTATTCCATTCTACTTTCCCTCTCAGTTGACACTCCATATTCCCTACCAACTCATCATGTTTGGTGTTCATTGCAGTGTTTTGAATTCTGCTTACCCCTGGGGTTTTCCCTATTTTTTATTTTTTTGCTTCTGCATTTTGTACTTTGGTAATCCTTGTGGCTCCCCCAAGTTGGCTGCCACCTCCCTTCCTGTTCATGGACAATGTCACTTTGACTATGCAAAGATCATCCTTTAAAAAGGATATTTCTGTTAGCATATAGGATTAAATTCTTGTATAGTAGTTGGTTCATGTCGATACATTATTAAAATAACTATGTAGTAACTAATGATAGGATCTCAGTTGTGTAAAAGGGAAAGAGTGGAGAAATGCAGCATCTCCATTTACTATAGTACTGTAATGGAAAAAGCAGTATTTGAAATGTAACTCTTCTATTTAATTGAGAACTGTGTAATCTAGTAAGCCAAATGCAGTTTTCTTTGATAGCCTCGCAGGAGCTTCATAGAGTTCTTGCTCTTGGGCTGCTGCTAGCTGGGGCTGTAGTATATGGGGATTACTGATCACTTGGCAAGCCATTTAATCGGCCAGAAGTTGTGGCTGCCTGAGAAGCTGGCAAAATGGCACAGACATCCAAGCATGTAGCAGCAGCCACTGGAACTCAAGAGCGTAGGTAATTCTTTAATCACATAAGCAGTGCTATATAAATCATATTTTCTACAGATGGGCTTGCTTAGGAAGTGGCATAGGTTTTTCTTTCATGTAGAGTATGCACAGTGTGGTTTTTAATGCAGTTTCTGTGCATTACCCATCATGGGCCATTTGGAATTCACCTGCAAGGGATGGATAGCCATTTTATTGTGCTGCAGCAAAAACAGGAATATCTTCTATAACCAACTGCATTTATGGACATTTAACCCCCATTGTTTACATTTTTTTTTGTTCATACCTGCCTCTACTGTATTTTTACATGTTTTCAGCCTATCTTTATAAACTATTCTTGATAAACAAGAGATTCACCAAAATTGTAGTAGTGCAGTAATGAAGAAAGTAGCAAAGTTCACATCTCCTGATTTAGCAAAATTCTTCTCCTTCCAACTATAGTAGTTGATTTTAAGTAGTGAAAAGGTTTGGCCCAGTCAAGAAATAAACAACCAAAATGGAGAAAAATAATGTTGACATTGGGAAGTGGTGCCTATCAGTGAGAAGGAGAAAAAATATTACTAGATAAAGAACAATCTCAGAAATTGTGGACAAATTGTGCTGAATGTCTCTTGTGTAACATTAGATTATTCATGAAAAAATCTAGAGAATTCCTAAACTAGGTCTCAGGTACCCTGCCAACTTCTAGAACATGGGTCCTCAAACTGCAGCCCGTGGGCTGGATACGGCCCGCCATGCCCATTTAACCGGCCCACCCCAGAGGTTTTGCACTCGCTGTGCGCACAGCTTGCTCGCACGGAGATCATTTTGGACTTGCTCAGAGAAAACAATCTCCACGTGAGCAAGCCACTGCCTCGCACTGCGCACCCCCCCCTGCTTCCCCCCCCCCCCGCTGCCTTGGCACCCTGAGCCCACCGCCGGCACCTTTGAACTGGCCCCCGTTGAAAAAGTTTGAGGACCCCTGTTCTAGAACCATGATACAATTGCTTTTTATTTTTTCAGTAATTCTTCTTGCAATCTACTGCATAATAATTTTGGCAAATGCACAGATTGCATAAAAATGTCACAAAATAACAAGATTGATTGAAAATTTTAATTTCGGAGAAAGTAATTTTGTTATCCTTCCCCAATAGATACAGTGAGGGAATAAGTACAAAACATGTGGACTAAAATGGACTTGCTGTCATCTCCAGCATTTTTATTTGTAAAATTTCCACATGAAGAAAAAAATGGAGGAGGGAACAGAAGAAAGCAAGACACTATTATGCTGAATAAGCTAGATTTATAGGTCAATAGATGGGTTTTGATTAAGGAACAGACTGCTGTTGCAGTTTTAAAATATTCTGCCCAAACTTCATTCAGTTCTCATATAGTCCATGTCAGGTTTTGGGGCACCTGAAATAAACAGGTATAAAATTTACACCTGGACCTGTGGGATATATTTGGATACTGTATCTTATTTATTTTATTGTATTACTGCCCCGAGACATTGTGAAGAGTGGGATGTAAAAGTAATAAACAAATGTTTGAAAAATTAATATTTTTAGAGATTCCAAGGTTGTATTCTGATATACTGGGTTCATATGTCATCCTAAGCCATAATAGGTTATTTTGCATGATGTCCAAACCTGGAGGATTTTTTCTGTTGTGGGTATTTTCTGAAAACATCTACTGTAAGAAAGCATGTGTTGTGGTATGTTAGGGGTGTTTTATTCGCAGGGTAGCTTAATGTGATGTTTGGATGCAGCAGGACAATGTTTCCATTGGTTATCAAGAAGTAGAGAAAACCCCCTGCCATTCCTTATAAAATGGCTTGTGCCACCACCATTCTTCAGTTGTAGGAAAAGCGCTTCTTTTCCTAGCAAACGCCTTTCACTTCTAAAGACTGCTTCACATTACACATTGCACTGAAATAATACCTGCCCCAAAAGCTTTTTCTCTTTTACAACCACCAACTGCTTTCAGGTCTCCCCTCCCCTCCATTTTCTGCTTGTTACTTCCCTACAGTGGTCTCTATTGCTACTCATCAGATATACATGGATGGATATTACAGAGCCGTGAGCAGAATTACAAAAATCAGGGCAAAGTGGTAAGGAAGGGAAATTTAGTCACATTCCATGGCAAAGCAGTGTAACAAAGGAGGAAATGATGCAAAATTCATGGCAGAGTAGTACAGCAAAGGAGAAATTTGCACAAATTTCATGATAGGAAATATTAACATGGAAAGTTTGTTAATGTATTTCTCCATTCATGAGGACTTTAAAAAGTATTTGCTTTATACCATCTGATGTAGGGTGGGTCACCTTTGTCAGCAGGCAGCCACATCAGATGAATTGCAGAAAAGTATGCATGGAACAAAGAAAAGAAGACCTCTGCTACAAAGTTTCCTTGGATATGTACCAGCCTAGGGCTGGAGGACTGAGAAGGGAGTGAGGGAGGAACAAGCTCAGAAACAACAGACAACTGTTGAGAGCAATAGACGAGTCACCCACTGTGGCTTTTTTCCAGAAAGGTTTAGCATGATGAGTGAACACCAGCCCCTGGTTGAGACTGCTGTTTCTGGGAAACCAGGTTTACAGCATATTGGTAAAAGTGAACCTATATTGTGAAAAGTGAACACTTTTCAGAATAAATATCCTGAAGAAGATTCATTGTATATTTTGTATAGCTTTGTTTTCTTCCTTTTAGAAATTGCAAGTACAAGTATGAATTATTTTTGTAAATAAAATAATTTATTGCCTATTGGTTATAAAAGCATAATCTGATAACAGGTTGGTTAAATAGCAAATTTTCTTTGGGGCTCAATGCAATTTACAATCTGGCTGGGGTGAGCAGCAGTATCCCCAGCTAAGTAATTTGTTGGCAAACTGAATAACAGCTCCTTCCTGCTGGGCAATATTAATTCAGAGTTATGGCAGCTGCACGTACAGTACACTCACTTCTAGTCTTAAAATCAAGTAACCCTTTAAGATGAGAAGGCAAGAAGGAAAGCTATAATGCAGCAGCAATAGCTGCTGCTGTTGCTACTGCCTTGAGTTTAAATGAAGAGAAGTCTTAGTAGGTTGCCTGTACAGTGTTGTCTTTTGGCTCAAGTAGCATTAACCAAGTAGGGTATAAAGAAACTGTTTACAGTATAAAAACATGTATTTATATTTATCTCCTATGAGGCATCAAGAAGCCAGTTGGGTTCAAAGGTGCCTTAGCAACCTGTGATTGGAATTTCATGAAATTTCTGGGACAAAGCTACAAGAAAACTAAATGTACCATAATGGTCAATGAGAGAGAGTCCAAGCAAGTAAACTAGCATCGAGCAAAGCAGCTGTATACTCAGTAATGCTTTTCAGTGTTTTAGTGCAGAATATATTAACTCCAAAATGCATGTAGATCTCACATGGATTAAAACAGTGAAAGAAAACAGCTGAAAAAGAGGGCCTTTGGCTATGAGGTGGCATACAAATGTGATAAATAATAAAGGTTTTACTCCTTTGTAATGTTTCACATAAATTTTAATAGAAAATCAACTGATTGCTGGCCTAGGAAAACCAAGATGACCCCGCTTTGAGGTATAACATTAATTTTAAACTGTTTCTCTTTCAGCAGCTTCATGAAACAGTGAAAAGGAAGCTTGATAGTTCTGTTCCTCCTCAGAATGGTGACCAGCAGAATGGCTATGGGGACATGTTTTCTGTGCCCAAAAAACGTCACGATGATAGTCTTGGTGGGTTGAGTGGCTCCACTAATGGTATCCCTCCTGTATCACCTCTGCACCAGCTGGATAGCAAACCTTCCGGTGCAGACACTTTACAGCTTAATGGAAAACTTTCCATGGGGCTAGATGGCATCAGCAAAAAGTGTCTGCCAGATTCTAACCTTCAGCTGAATGGAAGCAGTGATGCTGATGACACGTTTGCTATGGTTATTAATAAAGAGCTCAAACAGGAACCGGATGATCTTCCTTGTATGATTTCGGGACCAGGAAGTTCTATCCCTTCAAACATTTTGATGCCAGATCTTAACCTTAATGAGCAAGAATGGAAGGAGCTCATTGATGAGCTCAACAGATCAGTGCCTGATGAAGACATGAAAGATCTTTTTACTGAAGACTTTGAGGAAAAGAAGGATGTTGATTCTTCAAATTCAGCTGCACAAACCCCATTACCGCAAGACATCATTATAAAGACTGAATTTTCCCCAGCGGACTTTGAACAAGAACAGATGGGATCTCCACAAGTTAGATCTGCTTCTTCTGGCACAACATTTATTGGTACCTCTTCTGTCCCTGTTAGTGCAGCTTCTCCAGCAGTTAGTAATTCTCAAACTATGTTTCAGCCATCCAGTCAGTCAGTGACTGAAAATCCCAACCAAGCCATGATGCAGCCATCAAACCAGTCTCCAAATGTGCAGAGGCCTCTGTCTAGTTCACTGTTGTCCGGACAAAGTACAGGGAGTGCCAAGGAGATGTCATCTGCTAAACAACTTCAACAGATAGCTGCCAAGCAGAAGAGAGATCAGTTGTTACAGAACCAACAACAGGTACACCAACCTAACCAGATTTCTAGCTGGCAACAGTCTGGCTCTTCTCACAGTCCGTTGACTGTCCCATACACGATGGAAAATCCTACTAGCCCTTCCATTTATCAACAAGACTTCAGTAACCAGAAACTCATGATGTCTAGTATGCCAAACAAGAGTTCTCCCAGGGCTGGAGGCAATTATCATGGTGGAAATATATTAAGCCATCAGCCAAATACTCTGAACCAGAACTCTGTGTCTAATCAAAGCTCTGTACTAGACTATGGGAATACGAAACCTCTTTCACACTATAAAGAATGTGGGCAAGGAGTTACAATAACTGGACAGAACAAACCCTCTATGTTGGCATATATGCAGCAGCGCCAACAATCTACACTGCCTCATATGAGTGATGAGCAGAATGGAATGTTTGTAATGAAGAAGTCTGGAAGTATCGCTTATAGGCCTCTGGTTTCACACAGCCAGGTAAGTGCTTCTAGTAGCAGCTTGGCCATAGTAAATGTAGAGGGTTGGGTATGTTGAGCAAAGTTGTTCCGTAAGTGAGGTGCATATGGTAGTGTGTGCTACAAAGAGGATGATGGGAATGGCTACACCAGTCTTTATTAGGAAAGCAATGTGTGACTTCGTGATAGACTTTCTAATCTAAAAAGCCCAAAGAATGGGAATCTTGCAGGTACCAATTAACAGATTTTTAAAGATTGGTGTACAAATCTGTTAAACAGGGTACAATTAAATTTAAGAAGATAATTCTTTTCCTCTTATGGTTTCTTTAAATGGCTTGCTAAGGGCTGAAGATATTTCAATAGCATATAAAATTGTGTATGATTTTACTCTGGCTAGCAGTTTAGTTATCTTCATTTTTACTGTGGAGGGTCATCACAGGCACTGTGTCTAGCATTAAATGTTACTGATGAGCTAGAAAGGCAAAGAATCACCATCTGTTTTATTCCATACAGAGTTATTTTCTTTTCTCATTGTGCTTGTAATAGGCAAGAAGATACATCAGTTTTCTACCCAGTACTGAGCATACTGACACTCATATATCCTTATTCTCCCTCTGCTGGCCTGTGGTAATAAGGTCCCCAGTGAGAGAATATGAAAGCTTAAATGCCTTCGTATTCCTTATAGGAAGCAATATCTGGTATATTTCTGTTCTTAATGAATAAATCCTCTTTGATATTAAGCCGTTTAGGCAGCTCCTCACAATGTAGCTTCTAGACTCTTATGTGAAGGAGCAGACACCCAATCTTATTTCTGTGCAAAACAAAGTTACGCTGAATATGAATTCTTGACAAACAGCTATAGAACAAAGTTTGTAGGTGTTTAGGTTCCAGGGCTCAAACTATGAAAAAACAAAGTGAAAATGCTGGCATTTCTAAAATGAAGTCTAGGCTATTTTACTTAATTGCCATGTCTGCTTTTGTAGGATCAAAATCCTTCTGCTGGTGTTCCTCGCATTCCTGTTTCTGTTCCTGGTCCTGGTGTGAATGCACAGCCTCCTAATGTTTCCATGGCAGGTAACCATGGTAACACAACCTATCTCAATAGTCCGCAGCAAGCAGCTGTAATGAAGCAGCACCAACTTCTACTAGATCAGCAGAAACAGAGAGAACAGCAACAAAAGCATTTGTTAATGGAACAGCAGAAACAGTTTCTAATGGGACAGAGGCAACTTCTTGCTGAACAGGTAAATGTGCATTACAGTGAAAAAGAGTAGTCTTCTTTCTCTGTCAGTCTTACTGGTTTGAAGGATTTGAACCCTTTCCATATGATATTTGTGCAGCTTGCCTGCTGAGAATTCTTTAATCTCTCCCCTACTCATCCTACCACCTTCAGCAGAGAGATTTGAGAAGATTGCTGTCACATATGCAGGAAAAGAAGATCTGCTGGTCACCTTTCTTTACTCATTATTCCTATCCACTGATCTTTTAGTGGTTAATTATTTCCTCTTTGTAAAGTCCTGCTTGATAAAGTTTATGTCCCTGATTCCTTGGTGCCTAATTCCCCCTTTGTAAAGTCGAGGATTGAGCATGGATCTTAATGTAGCCAGAACAACATCCATGCCAAAGAAGGTGGTATCAGGAAAGTTGGGGGATGTACAAAACTTCTTCAGGGAGGAAAAGAACCCCAAGGAGGGAGAAGTTAAGAAACATTCAGAAACATTGACTAGAGGGGGAATAAACAGAAAAACTGGGTCTGAGGGGGAACAGAATCAAGTACTGCGGAAGTAGGCATGGAACAATGAACAGGAACATTTCACACAAGATTTTGTTAGAGGACCAATTTGTTTTTCCTAATTTTTAGTAGGATTGGAGGAATTAACTGCTATCTTATTTTATTAATTTTTTTATTTATTTAAACCATTTTTATGCCGCCCCATTTGCAAAAAGCCTTGGGGCAGCTTACAACAATAATAAATAAACATAAATAAACAATTTGTACAATTGGAGTTAAAAAGCAGAAGCATCTCGGCATATACCTAAAAATCCCATAAATACAATTCATAAGTTAACAATTAAAATAACTTTTAAATAAAAAGGTCTTGGCCTGGCACCAAAAAACAAATAACAACAGCGCCAGGCGGACCTCTCTGGGGAGCACATTCCATAGGTGGGGCGCCACCGCAGAGAAGGCCCTCCTCCGGGTACTCACCCTCCTAATATCTTTCATGGAGCGTTCCCGGAGAAGGGCCTCTGCTGCTGATCTCAAGGGGCGGGAAGGCATATATGGACGCAAGCATTCCTTTAGATTACCAGGTCCCAAGCTGTTAAGGGCTTTATAGGTGATAACCAACACCTTGAATTGTGCCCAGACTTCAATGGGGAGCCAGTGAAGCTGGCGGAGAACTGGGGTTATATGAGAACAACGCCCAGTCCCCATCAGCAACCTGGCAGCTCTGTTTTGCACCAATTGAAGTATCTGGACCGTCTTCAAGGATAGCCCCACGTAGAGCGCGTTACAGAAGTCTAATCGGGAAGTTACCAGTGCATGTGTCACTGTCGCCAGGCAATCGTTCTCCAGGTAGGGACGCAGCTGATGGATCAGCCAAAGCTGAAGGAAAGCGCTCCTCACCACTGCCGTCACCTGAGCTGCTAATGACAGCTCAGGGTCGAGGAGCACTCCCAAGCTGTGAATCTTGTCCCTAAGAGGGAGTACAGCCCCATTCAGGACAAGGTCCAGGTCCCCCACCCCGAAGCCCTAACCATCTACCAACAGAACCTCCGTCTTGTCTGGATTGAGCTTCAGTTTATTGGCCCTCATCCAGCCCATTACCTCGGCCAGGCACCGGTTCAGTACAGCCACTGCCTCACCTGGATTGGTTGAGAACGAGAGGTAGAGCTGGGTATCATCAGCGTACTGATGATTCCGCAGCCCACACCTCCTAATGACCTCTCCCAGTGGTTTCATGTAGATGTTGAATAGCAAGGGGGACAAAATGGACCCCTGCGAAACTCCATGGCATAACTGCCATGGTGCAGAGCCATAGTCCCCCAGCACCACCTTCTGGAATCGGCCATTGAGATAGGAGTGGAACCACTGCAAGGCAGTGCCTCCAACCCCCAATCCCGCTAGCCTATCCAGAAGGATACCATGGTCGACGGTATCAAAAGCCGCTGAGAGGTCCAGGAGAACCAACAGGGATGCACTCCCCTTGTCTCTCCCTGCACAGGTCATCATACAGGGCGACCAAGGCAGATTCAGTACCATACCCGGGTCTGAAGCCGGACTGCAATGGGTCCAGATAATCAGTTTCATCCAAGAGTGCTTGGAGTTGTCGCGCCACCACCCGCTCTAACACCTTGCCCAAGAACGGGATATTGGCCACCAGTCTATAATTGGCGGCCATCTCTGGATCCAGGGATGCCTTCTTTAGGATCTTACATGATGTTACATTCATTTAAAATTATGTTTAGGGTACTTTTATGGGTAGAACCCTCTCAGTGCTGGGAAGGAAAGAAGTCAGTGGATGGAAAAGGATAGTTAGCAGCTCTTCAGTCTCTCTGTGTGTGTAATTGCAATCTCCTCCACCTTTCTCTGCTAAATTCTCAAGAGGAAACATAGTGTTGCTCTTATATGGTAAGTGGAATATGTAGTAAAATAACGATCACATTATTTTGAGGTGGTTAAGCTGGCTGGCTTACATGAATCAATTGACCATAACTTTAATATATACTCATTGTTGCTGTATTAGTTAAGAATATATTGACTAGTGTGTAAGTTTAGAGTGTGATACTGTAGGCAGTGATGATGATTTTGTGGATGGGAGGAGGTAAGTGTCATATTGTCAGGCAAGCTCACCTGTATCAAATTTCAGTTTTGATAGCCTCAGTGAAAAGACATAGCTGAAAGTGTTCTTGAATTGTGAGAAAGGATTTCAGTAAACTTTTTGACGGGTCATACTTTGCTAGATTGTTGAATGAGGAGTCTCAGAGCACCATTATTACAAGGATGTGAAAGATCTGACTTCTGTTCTTCAAAAATTTGTGATGATAACCACAATATAAAGGAATGACTATCACATAGAAAAAGGGTACAAACATGTTTTCTGAAGTAGATTAGATATTAATGGGCTGAAGTTGCAGGATGGTAGATTTTTACTGAACATTTGGAGAGTTTTCTTCACAGTAAGTAATGTGACAGATTGACAGTGGAACCAGTTATCTAGAGGTAGGTGAGTGCTAACTTTCTGAGGTCTTCAAGCAGAGATCAGATAGCTGTTTGTTGGAGATACTCTAACTCTGGAATTACTGGGCCATAAAGGGAGTTGTAGGCCATAGTTAAATGCCCCCTCCTTCTGTGAAGAATCTGTTTAAAATAGCAGCTGGAAAAAAAATTATATCTGTGCAAGATGGTCAACAGCTTTAAAGTTACAAAAGCAAATGCAAGAGAACTAGATTGTCAAGGATACCTTAAAGATAATTCACTCTGCCAAATATAGAAAATTTGGATGTATGAAGGCAGGCAGTCATTTGGTTCAGGCCAAACTAGAAGCAAAAAGGTACCTCTTTCATGGTCTTAGTAGCTGCCATTCAGAGGCTGTCTTGAAATTAGGCCAGCATATTGCCTTTTTAATAGTAAAGCAGCTATTTTTCTAACAGGTTAGCAAAGAAAAGCAGGACAAGGACGGCAAGTTAGAGTGATAATTTTAGAAATGTAAAATAATTAAGTGCGACACAATATAGAAATGGGAAAATACAGAAAAGGGTGTGTGTGTCAGACTGGAATGCAGTTGTTACATAGCTATGCTTAGTTTTATTGAAGGAGTCTTTAGGTTGAGCTATATAAATATTTATTTGATCGATTTATTTCTTTAATGTCCATTAATCAAGATGGTTAATATAGCATCCAGTCCCATGTTTAGACCTTTATGGGTTAATTTTAACACTGTAGTATAGGATAAAATTTCCCCACATGTGGATGTATACTAAGACTTTACACATTGCTGCCACATGTTTTCTTTTTGTTTTCCTCCTTTTCCACTCCATGATCAGACTTGCTGGCTGTACACAAGGGAGATTTGAGATGCATTCCAGATGTAGAACTCAACTTGCCCTTGATAACACTTATGTATATTTTTTTCAATAATGTTAACTGCAGGCAAATACTTTTATTGAAATATTTATCAGTTTTCTGTCTTCAACATGTTGTTACTTCATTTTTCGCTCTGTATTCTATAGGATGTTATCTCTTTGCATGACTGGACTTCTGCACTCCTATCTCTTCTGTCCCTTATTTTCTGTTTGGCCAAGCCCAAATTTCTGTCACCTTCTCCCTTTTATATTTATATTTGTTTATTAGACATTTATACTGCCCGGTCGCTGAAGCAATTCAAACCACAAATGCAATACAAAAATATAATTTAAAATGCTTGGGAAAATAAGGTCTTGGTATAAAAAGACCCCTGCTTTAGTCCTTTTATGTTTGTTTCCTAATCCTAGAACCTTGGTGTCTGCCCACTCCCTCCTGCTTTAAATTTTCCTAGAAGCAGGTGTGAAAGGGCTGCACACTTCTTGTAGGATTCCACGAACGTGCAAAAGTAGTCAGAGACTGCAACTGGTTTAAAGATATTCATGGAGGTTTAGCTTAGTCTTAGCCACCAGTGCAGTCACAATAGTACTGTTCTGCTTTTTCATGTGTCCCATTTAGTAACCAGTTATTTACTTGGCTGAGTCAATATTTAATTAGATTTGATTTGAGACATTTCCTGTAAGTAAAATACATTTGAAAGGAGGTATGACAACATGCTGCTAGATTCCTATACCTCCTTTCTGAATCTTTCTAGTAGTGTGCTAATATGCTTTCTCTGAAAATAATGAATAGAGATATAGCATACTCACTGTTGGAATACAAAAATAATTTTTTTACCATGCATCAACATGTTGAATCAGCCTCCTCAAAATTAACCACCGTTGTTATTCCCCTTGATTAGGTTCATGTGAGATGAAGCATTGTTTGACTCTTTCAAAATGCCCACCTGGTTCACACGTAATGCTAACTTATGCTTTATTTAAACCCATAGTTTTATCTGGCAGATGGTCAAACAAACTGTGGTTTGTTTTCTTAACCCCTGGATTGTTTGCTTCCCTCCTCCTTTGCCTGCTTCCTACCAGTATCTCAAATGCTTTTGAAGTACTATATCACTGGTACATAGACTGTCTGTTGTTGGCTTTTACCACTCTTGGCACTCTTTCTATAGCCTAGTGAAGCAGCCCATGAACAGCCTATGCTACTGCAGACACATGTAATGACAACCCATGCTTTAAGCAACCCAAAGTTCACAAATCATATGTTCTCTGAATGGTTTGTAGTTAATAAACCATAGTTTGTTGGTGCAGCCTTGGCCACACATCACTGCAACCTTTGTTGTTGTTAGTTGCAAAGTCACGTTCGACCCATCGCGACCCCATGGACAACATTCCTTCAGACCTTCCTGTCCTCCACCATGCCCCAGAGTCCACTTAAGCTCACACTGACTCCATCTAGCCACCTCATTCTCTGCCATTCTCTTCTTCTTTTGCCGTCAATCGTTCCCAGTATCATGGTCATTTCCAGTGATTCCTTCCTTCTCATTAGGTGGCCAAAGTATTTGAGTTTCATCTTCAGTATCTGGCCTTCTAAAGAGCAGTCAGGGTTGATCTCTAGGACTGACTGGTTTGATTCCACAACTCATGGGTTGAATAAAAGCTTATGTACCACAAAAGAGAGAAGAGCTCTAGTAGCACCCCAAAATAATCTTCACAATAATGTAGGAAAGAAACCTGACAATAAAGCACATGGGCCTCAGTGTCTATACTCTAATGCCCAGACTATGGGAAATAAACAAAATGAAATTGTACTTGAAAGCAAATATGATTTGGTAGGCATTACTGAAACATGGTGAATTATTCCAATGACTAGAATATAGGAATTGAGGCTGTAACTTGTTCAAAAAGAAGATAAGAAATCATAAGAGAGGTAGAGTCACATTATATGTTAAAAATTCTTATCTCTGTGCAGAAATACAGGACGATGAGCCTGGTAGCTCCATCAAGAGATTCTGGGTCAAAATATATCAAGGGGTAAAAGTAACGTGATAGTTGGAGTCTACTACTGACTCAGAAATATGAGAATGAAACTTTTAATAAGCAAATTGCACCTATTTCAAAAAAATGTGATGTGATAGTAATGAAGGACTTGACCCTTGATATCTCTTGGGAGACAAATCTGTCAAGTGACTGCTCCAACAAATTCTTAAGGAGCCAGTGTGGTGTAGTGGTTAAGAGCATGGAACTGGGACTCAAGCAACCTGGGTACAGTGTAAGTTGTGGGGCCTCTGTGTTAAAGTGGCCACATCCTACTTGAGTTTTTGATTTTAAAGGAAGCAAAAACTATACTCTGGATTTTGGGAAAGCTGATTTTAGTAATGTCAAAACAAGGATAAGTAAGGTTCAAGGCAAGTGAATCTAAATTAAAACAGAGTTCAATATAGGTGGACATATTTAAAAGAAGAAATTCTAAAGACACAATTACAGTTCCATCAAAAAGAAAAGGTCATTCAACTTCTTAGTGAGGAAGGCAAATGGATATCAGATGTCAAAAGACCAAAGTGCTCAATTTCTGCTTTGGCTCAGTCTTTTCCCAAGAACAGGTCTATGACCATCCCCCAGAAAAAACATACAGACTGAAGGAGCAGGATTAAATCTTAAGATTAATAAACAAATGGCCAAGGAACAGTTAATGTTTTTGAATTCAAATCTCCAGGGCCTGATCAACTGCATCCTAGAGTACTAAAAGAACTCTCAGAATCACTGTCTATTTTCTTCGAGAAATAATGGAGGATGGGTAAAGTGCCAGATGACTGGAGGAAGGTTAATGTTGTCCCCATCTTTAAAAAGGGCAAAAAGAGGTTCCTGGGAACTACAGGCCAGTTAGTCTGATATCAGTTCCTGGGAAAGTTCTGGAACAGATAATGAAGAAGTCATTGTTGATGAAGAAGTATCTTGAAGACAGTGCAGTGATTACTAGAAGCAAGCATGAACTTCCCAAACACAAATCCTGCCCAACTAATCTGATCTCATTTTTTGATCAGGTAACCTCTCTTTTGGACTGTGGGAATACTGTGGAGATAATGTATCTTAGTAAAGCTTTTGACAAAGTGCCCAATGACTTTCTAATCAGCATGCTAGCTAAAAGTAGGCTAGATGGAAAATGATCAGGAGGATCCACAGCTGGCTACGAAATTGCATCCACAGAGTGCTCTTCAGGGGCACCTTCTCAGACTGGGGAGATGTAACACCGTTTCCACAGGGTTCAGTTTTAGGACCAGTACTCCAACATTTTTATTAGGTTCAACATTTTATTCAACTCTACTCTTTGACGCTAGAACCAGCACAATAATCTTGAAAGAATGGCAGCAGAAAGGGAGTTCCATTCTCTTCTATCTGGGTTATAAATTCTTTTCTCAAACTCTTCCTAGGAATATCACTTTAAGATTGACTGTGGCTCACTATTATATTGATATTCTCCTTTCCCTCTGCCTCAGCACAACATTTTAAAATCCATTCTGTTCTGTTTAAAAGAGCAGAGCATTGCATTTGATTTTCTTACATAGAAAGAAATTGCATTTTCCTAGTACCATTCATCTTTCTCTTTGGATTGCTACTCAAACTAGGATAGCCAAATCATTGACTCTTATAGCAGTATAATTTGCATTGGCTGCCAATCTATTTCCAGGTCAGACTCAGGCTGCTAGTACTAACTTGCGAAGCATCATACAGCTCATAGCCTAGCTTCCTGAAGAATCACTTCCTTCCAAATACGTGTGCTCAGATGCTAAGATCATCCTTAGTGGCCCTTCTCTCAGTGCCCCCACTGAATGAGAGGTGAAGCAGGTGGCTACTAAGGGGACAGTCTTTTCAGGGGTGGATCCCTGGTCATGCAATGACTTCTCCAGAGATACCCACCTGATGCCTACCTTGTGGTCTTTCAGCACCAGTTGAAAATTTGTTAGTTTTCTTAGACTTTTTAGCTCTTTTATTGTTAAAAAATGTGTTAGTGCATTCTTAAATCTTTGCACTACTGCTGACTTTTATCTTGGTTACTACTTTGATTTTATTCTCTTTTAAATGTACTTTAAAATATGCTAACACAAATAATATTTTAAACTGTGTTAGCATATTGAAATGGTGTAAACAGCCCAGAGAGCATGAGTTAATGGACAGTATAAAAATGTAAATAAATAAATTTAACCTTTACAAGCCTTGCTGAGTACAGAGGGAAATTATGTGTGATGAAATTTGGGTTAGTCCATGTAACACCTTTATATCACCCCTTTTTTTTAGGAGAAGCAAAGACGCCATCAGGAGCAACAACTCCAGAGACATCTCACTCGTCCACCCCCTCAGTACCAAGATCAGACACAGAATCCATACCAACAGCAGGTTGGACAGTTCACAGGTAAATAATCCTATGGGGTTGACTTGCAAAAGATTCCCTGGGAAAAGGGAACTGCTAGCACAGTTCCTTCACATTTTCTGAATGTGATATTAGTTCATTTTAAAATGTTGTTTTGCATCAAGTTTTTGTTTAACATTTGTATGGTGTCCATTAATCTAGATGGATTCTTATTCCTTCACACTGGTTTTAAGTTCTTGAGTTTAAATGTTGCATTTCACAAAAGTCACTGAGGAATCACATCTGCTTCAGTGCACATGCATGTTGGGCATATTTTTACCTGAACACTATTTCATTTCATTTATTTACTATATTTCTATAATGCCCAATAATCAAAGCTGCCTCAATAGTAAAGCTCTGCTAAGGTAAAAGAAAAACTGATGCTGTTGTAATAGTAAATGTTCTGATTTAGTCATGTTACTTTGGGCAGTACCAGGATTGGCGCAAATGCCCATAATTTTATTATACGGGGAACTCAGGAAAACTGAATTAACATATTCTTTCATATAGTGATTGTACATTTATTTATTTATTTATCGATTTATATCCTGCCTTTTTCCTACAAAGGGCTCAAGGCAGCTTACATCATTCTCCTCCTCCATCTTATCCCCACAACAACCCTGTGAGGTAGGTTGGGCTGAGAGTCTGTGACTGGCCCAAAGTCACCCAGTGGGCTCCATGGCTGAGTGGGGACTAGAACCCAGAACGCCTGAGTTCCAGTCCCATGCTTTTAACCACCACACTGGCTCTTCCCATGTTGTTATTCATTTGTTGAAAATTTTCTGCCATCCATTGAGTCTGTCTAGGCTAACTGTTCAATATGAGCATACAGTGGCTGTGAACTAAGAATAATTACCACTTGAATGTTCATTTGAATTCATCCCTGAATTATGACCTGTTGCTTTTTTCTCTCATAAGAACATAAGCACAGAGGAAAAGCCATGTGAGATCAGAGCAAAGGTCCACCTAGCTACCACTCTGTACACACTCCTTCCCCTTGTTTGGTGGTTGTTCACAGTCATGCGAACAAAGGTTTTGTATAGTGCTTCTTTTTCTGTGCAACAGCTTCTCCAGTTCCTGATTTCAAACATATTACATCTTCATACTGCCAAATAGCTTAAGCTAACTAGGTGGTTCACAATGCAAAGTATAAAACACCACAAAATAAATTATACAGATTAACTTTTTTAAAGTTTAACACTATGGTATGAGTAAAAAATAAAAAAACAAAATAAAACCTAACAGCACAAAGATTTAAAATATAGTAACAAATTCAAAACAAGCCGAAAGACTAAAATGCCTGAAAGGATGTTGCCAAGTAGAGCACGTTGTAGGTGACAGAGGAGTCTCTCCTCACGTCAGATTCCACAGCAAAAAAGGCTCTGCCTTGGCAGGGTCTCCCTACAGAGGAACCACTGAGGATGATTGTAGGGTCCAGGCAGAGGTACATGGGAAGGGATGATCCTTCAGGTAACCTGGTCCCAAGCTGTTGAGGGCTTTGATTGTTAATATCAGTGCTTTGAGCTGGGTCCAGACATGGACTGGCAGGCAGTGCAAATGGTACAATACTGGCCTAATAGGATTGTGTGGGCCAGTCCCCGTTCACAATCCTGCTACCCTGCTTTGAACCAGCTGAATTTTCATGACTCTTTTTAAAGGCAGTCCCAAGTATAACACATTGCAATAACCTAACTGAGAGGTTCCTCAAGAATGGATAACTGTAAGCAATCCCTGTCCATATCAGTCTAAGCGGATAAAAAGTGCTCTGGATGTGGCAGGAGTAAAGCAGAGGTGCCAGGACCCAGGCAACAGAACTTAAGGCAAGGCAGGGTCTAAACACAGAGTAATGTCCATAGTAATGTCAGGGGCAGGGTTGTAGTCAAGTAACAGGTTGAAGTCAGAAACCAGGAGGACATAACTGTGCTAGCTAGACTTTCAAAACATTTAGCAGCAAATCTCTAACTCCATATAGCAGGGACTTGTGCATGGCAGGATTCCAATCAGCTGGGTTTAGACAGAAACAGCAGAATCCCACTTGAAAGTAGTGTGAACAAGAGGACAAAGGAGGTGGCTACCTTTTATAGATTAAAAACTTATGGTATTCGGTGCATGCATACAGCATTCTACATAATTAAAAGATATGATTACTAGAATGGTTTTGATACTATTTTCACAGGTGCTGATAAATAATATAGTACAGTGAGCTAGTAAGAAGTATTTCTGTCTGGATGGCCAAGGTCTGGGATCAAAGCATAGGCTCATGACTGCCTTTTGCCTGCAGAAACAATGGCTGATAAGGAACGTTCAAGGCTGCAGATGTTCCTTGTGCCATCTTAATATCAGAAAGGGAAATTCCTTAGCGTCATGAAAGCAGACTGTCAGGGGAACACTAACTAAAGCTCTTTTGTACTATCGTAAGCAACTAAACTTTAATGTGAAGTAAGCCAAGAAATTTGAAGAGATGGAGACCCAGGATTGGCTTTTTTTGTCTCAATAACACAGTGAGACAAGGATGCAGTCATGAACAAGCATCAAGAAACATTAAGACAACAGAGCAAGGAGCAGGTACCTTAAGGCAAGATAACTGGACAAGATTCAGGAGCGGCAAGGCAGGAAGCAGGGAGGGATAACAGGAACCAGGTGCAGCAAGGGTCCAGCAATGTACAGGAATTGAAGCACAGCGAGCAGGAAGACCTGCATTACTGAGGCTGCCACTAGGGGGAAGAGCCAGTTCCCAGCTGGCACTCAGAAGGCTGGGAGCTTCAGAAGGGTCAAGTACTGTGGTGACTGCCCTGGGTCTGGCCACCAGGTGGAGGCCTGGAGCTGCCCAGATGCTAGTACCTGTACATCTATTAATTAATTAATTATTTATTTATTTATTTATTTATTTATTTATTTATTTATTTAGGGAACTTCTATGCCTCCCCATTCACCGAAGCCTCAGGGCGGCTCACAATCTAGTGACAATGCTGCATCCAAGAACAATCCCAAATGATGAACCTGATCCTTCAGGAGGGATGCAGCTTTCTCCAAAAGAGGTTGACCTTCAGTTAGCCAGCCAGACAAGCCATTCATTTAACAGTACCTCCATCTTGTCTGGATTGGATTCTGGTTTATTGGCCTTCATCCAGTCCATTCCATACCCAGTTGTTGGTTCAGAATACCCACTGCCTCATCTGAATTTGATAAAAAGAAGCAGTGAAGCTGGGTGTCATCTGCATATTAGTGACACCTCACTCCATATTTCCAGATCACCTTCTACAGCTTTTTCATGCAAATAGAAGCATCTCATGGTGTAACTATCCAAGCACCACATTCTGAAATCAGCTAAGTAGGAGCAGAACTACTACAATGCAGTGCCTCCAGTTCCTAGCCAGATAGCCTGTCCAGAAGGATATTGTAGCCAATGATAATTAAAGCCATTGAGAGGCATTTGTTGGGTGCTAATAAATGCTTCTGCTGGTATATAACAGAGTAGGTTGTCCTGGTCTCAGACTGCTTCGTTCTCCACTACTACTAAAGTAGCACCAATGCCCCAGTAAATGTTGTCTTCTCTCATTGCTGTTTTGCATTCACCATTAATGTTTTAGTCCCTTCCTGTTTTCCAGTAGGGTTAAAATATGAATATTTCATAACCAGGAAGTTCCTGGGCTGTGTTCAGAAGGTAGCTTCTGTTTCCCTTCTTCCCTGGCAGTCCCTTGCTCCACACAAAACCCTCTCCAGAGGATGGAGGCTTCTGAACAGAGGAAGGCTGTGCTGTTTAGGGTTGCATTGGGAAGAGGGAATTGCTCAAAAATCAGGCAGAGGGATTGTGTGCCAGTGATCCCACTACATGATATTAGGCAGTTCTGTGATCCCATTGCAACCTCATATGACACAGCCCCCACTGTTCAGGAAAGACCACCATCCCTCTGGAGAGGATTTTCAGGGGGTACAGGGGCCTGAAACCAGGGGAGAAATACTGGTTGCATGAGTTGCCTTCTGCCTCCATAACCATTGAATACCATCCAACATGTCTTAATAGGTAAGGACTGGTTCACACAGGTGCTTTTCTCATTGTGGGACATTCACCACACTCCTAACCTGTTCTTTGGCACATTTTTGTGAGTAAACACAGGATAAAATAGTTCTACACTAATACAGCTTTAGAAAATTCCATTATTGGAGCAGCTGAAAAAATATCTGTCATGGTCATGGAAATCATTGCAGCCATATCCGTAAACAGTCCATAAACAATAACACTTTCCTACATGAATATGAGTGCTAGCATAGCCAAGAGTGTCTTGGCTCACATGTAGAGGAATGTGACAGTTTGAATCAATCTTGTATCTGGAATAAATTTAAATTGCTAGAGTTGTAGTTGGAGCAGAATTCTCAATATGCATAGATGGCAGTCTTGAGCTGTCCTCCCAAATACTCCAGTTTATGAAACAGTCCTTATTACTGTGCTTGGTTGTCAGTCTTGTGAGGTATGAATTTGTTTACCAAGGAGTTGTTAAATGGCACAAATGAAATGATTCAAGGAAAGAAGCATGGAAGCTGCCTCTGCTTAATCTTCAGTTGACCCCCCCCCCTTGCATCCCAGCCACCCACATCAAATCTCTGCACATTCAAGAAAGTTCCCATTAGCCAGGAGAGGCTTTTCAGGGGTTGATACGAGGTAGGGGGGAAGCAGGTGGGGAAGTCACCTTCTGCCTTTCCCCTCCTGCCAACACTTGTGAGGACCTAAGCCAATGAATCCTAAATATAGTTACAAAATGCTGCATGCTGCAGTGTATGTGTAATGTGCCTAAACTGATGACAGGTGTTGAACCAATTCTTACTAACAGCAGTGTTAAAAATCTCATTTTGTATTACAGGCTCATCTCCAGCAATGGCAGGGGTGAATAATTTAGGCCAGTCCAACTCCAGTAGTCCACGCATGTTTTCTCAGTCCCAGAACATGATTCAGATTGGAACTGGGCATAGTTCTGTTTCAACAAGCAGCAGTCAGCAGGATAGAGGAGTAACTCAGTATCCTGGCATGCAGAACATTCAGCGAAGTAGTTTGTACAACATGGCATCAAGTATGACACAGATGGTTCCACAGCATGCGAATCCAAGTGCCAATGGACAGCCACAGATGCAAAGACAACCCAATTTGGCTCAGAGCACTACTCTTCCTGCTGGATATGGACAGAGTACCTTAGGAAACACAAACATTTCTCAGCCACACAGTAAAGGAGCACTGAATCCTACACTATCCAAGCCCCAGATGGCAAGAATGCCAACAGCTCTTGGGACCCAAAATCCCTCCTGGCAACACCAAGGTATTTCCAACATGAACAACCAGGCACAAGGAAATACTGGTTTAGGGACATTTACTGCCAGCTCCACTTTCCATATGCAACAGACTCATCTAAAGTTGACCAGTCAGCAGTTTGCGCAAGGGATGCCTCAGGTAAGCCTCAACACCAGCAGGCCAATGGCCTCTATGAACTCAGCTGTCTCTGGACAGATGCTGTCATCCATAGGTGCCCAGCAGAGGACAAACTCATCCTCCCAGCAGCCAGTCCCATCACAACAGGTCTTGCCAGGCATGAGTCAAGCTGTCCCAGATCTGACTTCTTTCAGCCAGAATCAGAGTCAGCAACTGCCCAACAGAACTAATCTGCACTGTAGTCAGGGTTATCCAGTGAGGACAGCCAGTCAGGACATGCCGTTTGCCTACAACAGTCCATCTGGAGGCAATGGACTACAGAGCTTACCCGGAGATACAGATCTCATAGACACCTTGTTGAAAAACCGGACTTCAGAAGAGTGGATGAATGATCTGGATGAGTTGTTAGCGAATCATTAAAATGCGGTTGGGGTTTCCCTCCATGAATATTTTTTTAATTACAAACTATCTTTGGACCAAATACCTGTGGCATTAAGAAGATTCACAGGTACTAGTGGGAATGTATTGGAGCTGCTACCTTCTGGGTTTAACAGCATGAGAAGGATGCACCAATTTGCTAGGAAATAACTTGGTTGTTGTTTTAGCGTGTCTGGAACACTGCACATGAAAATATTCTCTATTAGTTTGGTGTACTTCCCAGCCAGCCCTTCAGAAATTTCACTTTTAACAGTGTTTTGCATTTTGAAGATTTAAGTGCAAACCCATGCAGCGGTGGTGCAGAAAGTTAAGCCAGCATCAAAGACTCCATATATATATTCAGTGTTAAAGTAATCTTTCCTGCAACTACTACTTGACAGATTTTTTAATGCTAATTTGGCCCACTAAGTAGTGAACGTAACACCATACCAACTTTTTATGAGGAAAGAATGTGCAACCCTTGTTCCTTTGCAGGATCTTCTCTCATTTTGAGAGGACAGTCTTCTGGTCAACAGTGATCTGTGTGCCTGCATTCTCAGCAAACAAAATGTGAGCGTTGTCAGTAATCACTAATGGCTATCTGTGCTGTCAGTTGTCAAGTGTTAAAACATGTCCAGTGGTAGGTTCCTGTAGACTTAAACTAGGGGCCTCAGTCTTAATTGGCTTATCGCTTACTAAGCTAAGCAGTTTGCACTCTGCTGTGGAGGGAGGTTGAGCGCTTGATTTTTAGAGGATTTTTTAAAATTGGAGAATCGGACTTAAAATCAACTGTGTGCACTTTTTCAATCTCCTTTCCAGCATTTATTAAAAGAGAGTTGAATTCATCCTCTCTAATTCAGAGGCCATTTATAATTAACAATGTCTTTGTTGTCACACACATGCTGTACCAATAAGAACAGAATCTCTCTTTCTTTTGGTTGAGTATGTGAAGCAAGCCTTGTGCCTTGAAAGTTACTAACATGAAAAGCTGCAATAATGGCACAGGAAGCTGGGTGAGGCATAGTACTTTAATAAAGGTTGTTCCATTGTGAGATTGCCCCACCCTTTGGGGAAGAACAGTGACTTGCTCTCTTTATAAATATGTAGACTAATTTCCAGCAAAGCAGATGCTGCTATTTCATCATGGTCCATGGAGATGTCTTCATGGATGAGTTGGGTCAGTCCCATACAGGGCAAGAAAAAGAGAATTGTTCTTAATGTTTTACCAAAAAAAAAAAAAATCTTCTGCTTGCCAACAAGCCACCTTTTGCCTTAACCTTTAGTTTTTAAAGGTAATAAATTTGAAAGTTGTTTTAGATGCACAGATACCTCTCTGTTCCCTACTCTGGGTTTGGTTTTGTTCTTTAATGAACAGAACTATTTACCTCTTGCTATAAGAATCCTTAATTCATCACATCTACAACAGAATCACAAAATTTCCTTCACATATGGCATATTCAGAGCGTTTCTGCACAAGAAAAGTGTGAAAATTTAAGTTTGGGATATTTTGAGGGGAATGGTAAATCCATAGGAAAGAGATCATATTTTACTGTATCTGCAGTGTTTTTCCTCAAATCTGCACTTTGGAAAAAAAATCTGCTTTAACACTACTTTTTGTATTTAATCTTTCCCGTTGGTTTTGTTTTATGTACTTGCCACCCATGAGCAAGTTTCATATGCTGTGCTAAACAGATTTTTGTATTGTATCTTGATGAACTGTTGATGGGGAATAAATGGTGAAAGCTGCATGTTGACGAGTGGTTCCACTGCTGAATGTCCAAACTGAAGTAATTTGCATTACTTGTATATTTTCTAAGAGGTGCTTAATTTAATGAATGAAAAATAGGTGTTACTGACATTGTAAGTAAATTAGATTATAGTTGAATTTACTAATCCTTTCCGTAAGTCAGCAGTTGAATTAAGTTGTTTCAATGAGCTTGGCTTAATCAAAGAATTGGTCCAAGATGAATGTCAGCAGAAAAATCTCCTTCGACTCTTCATAGCTGCTTTTTTTTGGCCAGGGAAAGTTTGGGTGGGGGGAAGTCAGAAGTAATTGTACTCATTTTGTAAATGTTGGGGAATTTTGCACCAGTGTGCCTTCTTTTTCTTATTGGAGGTACGTGGGACCTCATAGTTCTTAGCTGTCTTGGTTCTACTGATTTCCCCCCTTTGGCACACTGAAAAATAACAGGTTTTATGGAATTTGAGTATTAAATTCTAGATTGATTTCCCAATAAGAATTTAGGTTAAAAGAAAATACCACATTTTAAATTTCTAATGCTACAGTAAGAATTTGATGTCCACTAAGAGACTGATGCCCCCCCTAACTTTATTGTAGTTACATAGGGCTTTGTCAACTGCAGGTTTATACATTTTAACTTCTGTTCAGATATAACATTAAGCAAATTGGAATAGACTACTTTGGACTAGAATATTTGAACAAATCTTTTAAAACTTGGGTTTAATTTTTTTTTTTTTAATTCTAGTACACACAACAGCCCTTTGGTTCCTGTCCATCTGTAATTGTTCAGCTCCTTAAAATACAGCCTTGGTGGAACAATATTAATGTGCTGTTCAGTTATCATTGAGCATGAAGGCTGGGTGGGGAAAGGTTAAGTGCTGTCCTTCAGTCACTTGTAGCAGTTCATACATGAATATATGCACTTCGGCTTTCCATTTGCTGCAGCTTAAGAGCAATAAGAGGTGGCTCCCTGAGCTTTACCTAGCCTGCTGCCTCAGCTTTATTTATAGACAGTGGTCATGGACAGGTGAGGCGGTGTGAAAATGTCACTGTTCGACTTCCACTGGCTTCCACAGACCCCACAACTCAATTGAAAGGGTGCTCAGTTTTCTATTCTACACATTTTCTTTGTGTAAATAAATGTTTACAGTTTTATATTAAATATTGAATAAGAGTTAGATCTTCTGAGTGTATATTTTTTACTTTTTATAGATTTTAAAACTATAATTCTTTATATATATGTTGGGGTGGTTATGATACGTTTTACACTTGTTTAAATTGTGAACAGTTCAAATTTAATGCTAACCCTTTTTGTCATTGAAATGTATAAAGAGCCCATTAATCCAGTCTTTTCTTTAACTACAATTACTGTGGCACACCAAAAAGAAATCTTTTCATTTCTGTTATGTCATTATAAAAAATAAATATTTTGCTAGTGTATTAAACAATTTCTTGTGGTTTTTGAAGCAGCACTTGATTGGAACATAGTCCTTTAATAATCTTTCCTGTGAAAACTGATCCTTTACATTTGCTCCTTTTTACATGATCAAAACCCAGCCTGATTCTCTGTTTTCAGACTGAACCCAGTAATAACAGGAAGACATGACTATCTTTGAAGGACAAGAGTGAAGTATTGATTTGGCTCTGTCAATTGCACATGAAATTTTTACAGGTTAACTTGAGTGGTTATTGTATTATAGCTTTAGTTCTATATTTACTATTTTATTAAAGCAAATTTTATTATTTTCTCAAACTAAAAACAATTATTTAGGACATCGGATATACTGAGTCGACATCACACTCTTTTTTTTTTTTTACATTTAAGAACTATATTCAATTCTACACATAGTCCCGTTTCTCTAACCAATGATAAAAAATATTCCAAGTTTGATAGAAGTACATATCTTCCTTCTCCTTCAAAGACAAAGTCAATCTGTCCATCTCCGTGCAGTCCAAGATCTTTTTTAGAATCAACTCTTCATTAGGTGGCTCTTTGCTTCTCCAATGTTGAGCAAATGCAATCCTCACTGCAGTAGTTATATGTAAAGTCAAATATACAGCTTGCTTATCAAGATTATCAGGAACAATACCTAACAGAAAGACTTAAGGTTTAAATGTTAACGGTTTATGCAGCATTTCCTCAAGCCGCTTTTGTATTTTAATCCAATATTTTTTTGCCTTAACACATGTCCACCACAAATGATAGAAAGTACCAGGTCTGTGTTTACATTTCCAACACCTATTTGACATATTTGGAAACATTTTTGCTAATCTGTTTGGTGATAGATACTGTCTATAAATATTTTATGAAGGTTTTCTTTATGTGAAGATGCTAGAGTTACCTTAATATTTCTTTCCCACAGCTTTTGCCATTTCTGTAACTCAATATTATATCCAAAGTTTTGTTCCCAAGTTATCATAGTCTCTAACTTGTTCATCTTCCATTTTCATATCTAAAAGAAAGTTATACAACCTTTTAATCATTTTTTCATCTGATTTTAAAATCATTTGATCACTATTTTTGAATTGCTGGCTTTCTTGATACTTCAACAATAAGTGGAAATCAATTTTTAATTGACTTTGTTGAAAATATTGAAAATACATTATTTCTTCGGTCTTGCTTATCTTCAGAGTATATGCATCGGGGTCTTTCAAAACAAGCATATTCTTTGCAATGTTCATGTAAAACATTAACTATGTTTTCACTGAGTTGGGGGATTGACCAGAAGATAATTGTAACTTTGAAGCATTAAAGTATTGCTCTCAAAACAAGACAAAGTGTGCACATAAGTGAAAGAAAGTTAAAAATATTTCTCTACAGAGCCTACCTTACAATCTGTGTTTGTGGCAGTCACACTTCACCTTTTTATATTTACAACTACATTTTAATGTGTAAGCAACTCTTCCCTCAGCTTTTTTTTTTGTCATGGCCAAGCTGTAAGTATATCTTCCTCTGCTACCTTGCATGGAACTCAAAAGAGGTAGGCTGCTGGTTTGTATGATGGGCACGTAAATGCACAGAGGGACACCAGTGTAATTCATAGTAACAATCTACTATTTCCTGTTTCAAACTATAGAATTCTGTTTTGCATCAGAATATGCTGTTTCTGATTTATCTGATTCATGTGAGCTTGGTTCTTCACATGACAAATTAACCACAGTGTTTGTGTTGATAAGAGTAATGTTGGAAAAATAAATTACACATTTTGTCTGGGAGTGTATCTAATCAATTATAATTTTTCATATTTTTCAAAATGCAAATGTTCTTCCTAAAATCATAACTTAATGCAATTCCAATGGAGAAAAAGCATTGTATTCTGTTTCAGATTCTTATTGTGCATTGTGCAGTTCTGCAAAGATCTGTGCAGAAGATTAGAGGGGCTGATACTTCTTTTAAATACCATGTATCTAGGTATTGTTATTTGTATTACATTTATATCGCTGTCACAAAGTAGTGCTCAAGGTAACTAAAAGCAGTAAAATGCAATATATAATATAAAATTACAATTACAATAAAAACAAATCAATTGAAACACAGTGAAATGAAAAACAATACTGACTTTAGCAAATCCATCTACTTAATAGTTAATCCTTGGCTGGATAAAATGTCTGCCAGTAGTCAGAAAGTAAAAATGGAATTAGCTTGTTATCTCGACAAGGGATTCCAGAGCTTGGGAATGGTCACCAAGAAGGCCTCTCTCCTGTTCCCATCAAATGTGTTTTTGATTATGGCTGGCACAATTGGCAAACTCAGCTATGCTAAGAAACCCCTGGCCACTGCCAATACATGTTGAGCCAGGTTCAGGGCTGCATCCCAGGTGTACATTCAGACGTGCAACCTGAGTCTTTAAGGTGAGTGTAACCACATTCAAGATAGGATGAATCCCTTTCCCCGATGCACCTTTTGTCTTGAAGAGCACCACTGTCATTTCTGGATTGAGTTTCAATTTGTTCTTCCAGTCCGTTACTGAAACTTCAAAATGATTTCTCAGTTTGGGGCATGCTAAGTGAGTCCGTGAGCCTTGTATCGTTATCAGTTGTACATCAGAACTGGGAAACGGCTAACATTTTTGTGGTGAAATGTTGAGATGCTAGCATGCAAGATGCTAACAGCAGCAGTTTTCGAACTGATTATTGCAGATACTTTAAGGGATTCTCATGCAAGAGCGCTATACTAGCCTTTGAGCACAAACTGCTCAACTATTTATGTATAATATTGAATATATTTGGTACATTTATAAATCACAACAAGAAGGGCTAAGAACACCCATTTTGAGCTGCATATGACTTAGTGTTCATGTGCTTGTATTGTGTAAGATATTGGCACTGCATAAGGTTTAAGGGGGCGGGGAGTCAAATGCACAAGAAATTCCATTTTGGAAACCTTACTGCTAATCGGATCTAAAGAACTTTGTATCAACAAAGATTCTAGCATCTTCAGGCACGTATTAAATGACATATCTATGAAAATGTGTTTGAAGGGAGGCAAGACATTTATAAATTAGATTAATATCTAGAAGGAAGATGGGTCAGTATTCTGAAGTTGTTTGTTGGGAGGTAGTGTAACTGCCTTGAAAAGTCTTTATTTACAATGCTGGTGCTTTGAATATCAGACTTGTGCCAGGATTCTGGACTGGTCAGAGATGAAGTTAGATCTTTTCTATTTCTGCTGCTCATTGTATTCTGCATTGTGCAATGCAGAAAAAGACTGCAAGCTTATGAGGACCTTTTTTACTATAAACCCTACTGGAAGCTGTGGGAGTTTAAAGGAAATGGGGCTTGCATAGATTTGACATCTTGTTTGACTTCAACTGATTTAGCTGGAGGAAGTGAAAAGCAGGAGAACTGTTGCTACGTGTCACTAAGTTATCCCCAACTTATGGTAACCCTATGAATGAGCGCTGGTTAGGCCTCATCTGGAATAGTGTGCCCGGTTCTGGGCCCCACAGTTTACGAGAGAAGCTAGAAAGGGTTCAGAGGAGGACAACAAGGATGATCTGAGGGCTGGAAACAAAGCCCTGTGAGGAGAGATTGAAAGAAATGGGCATATTTAGCCTCAAGAAGACTGAGGGGAGATATGATGGCACACTGCAAGTACTTGAAAGGTGGCCACAAAGAGGAAGGCCAGGATGTCTTGATCATCCCAGAGTGCAGGACACGGAATAACAGGCTCAAGTTACAGGAAGCCAGATGTGGGGCTAGATAGCAGGAAGAACTTCTTGGCTGTTAGAGCAGCACGACAATAGAACAAATTACCTGGGGAGGTTGTGGGCTCTCCCACACTGGAGGCATTCAGGATGTGTTTGGGCCATTATCTGAGATGGATGGTTTAAGTTGGACTCCCAATGCTGGACCCAATGGTCCTCTGATCCCTTCTAATTCTGCTGTGATTCTATGATAATTTGGATTGATGATTGAACCAAGCTAAACAAAACCTTTCACAGTTTCAGTATCTTTACAGTTGACTTCAACATTCTGTTATTCTTCTGTAGTCATGTTTTTGTTAGTGTTTAGGTGCAGTCTTGCTTTTGCACCTTCTTCCACTTTAATTAGGTCGTATTTAAATTCACCGCTGTAATATGGAAATATCTTTCAGATAAGCTTTGAATTGAATCCAACTTCCTCCTCCTGCCAGCAAAATGGAAACCACTGCCAGAACAAGACTCCTTTATCCTCTCCTTCCTCATTACTGTGCGTACTCCAAATCTTCTCTAAAGGGATTCCTACCCACCTAGAGCAGAGTCAAAAGCTGTGCACTGAGTTCCAGAGGCAGGGAAGTCCTATCCCACTAGAGACATCTGTTCCATAAGTGGCATAATGAAGTTGGATCCAGCTTTTATCTGCCATCTCAATATTTTGTATTTATTTTTATTTATTTAAAACTTTTCTAGACTGTCCCATTACCAAAGTCTCGGGATGGTTTAACCGTACAAAATGTAAAACATTTTAAACACAGCTTCCTAAAAATTCAGCTGATGATAAAACCCCAATTAAAACAGTCAGGTCTTAAAACATTGGGAAAATAAAAAGGTTTTGGTTTGTCGCCGAATAGAATAAAGTGATGGTGCCAGGCAAACCTCTCTGGGGAGCGAATTCCACAATTGGGGTGCCACCACAGAGAAAGCCCCTCTCTGGGTAGTCACCCTCCTGATCTCCTTCAGGGAGGGCACCAGGAGAAGGGTGTCTGCCCCAGATCTTAAGGGGTGGGTGGGCACATATGGAAGGAGATGCTCCTTCTGGTAACCAGGCCCTAAGCTGTTTAGGGCTTTATAGGTCATCATCAGCACCTTAAATTGGGCCCGGGCTTCGACTGGTAGCCAGTGTGAGTGGAAAAGGACAGGTGTTATATACCTGTCGGTCCCTTTTAACAACCTGGCAGCTCTATTCTGGACCAGTTGAAGTATCCGGACCATCTTCAAGGGCAGCCCCACATAAAGCACATTAC